CCTGACTAGCATGACGGTCGCCCACTATCTACGACGCAGACGGTGGCTGTTCCAATTGATTGACTTTGCGGGCTAAAGGTCCTGACGTCGGTCTTTATATTTTTAGGTTAACATTTTATCATAGTTCTTCTAAAAAATCAATACAAAATCATATAAAAAATCAATAGGCAGTAAATTTTTATCTGTATGTAATGAAACTATATATGATCGTCACTCAAAACATGATATAATTAAAAAATACTAAAATCTTAATAATAAGTTTTCAAAACTATTGTTTTTATTAAATCATCTGCACTATATTATTATCCAACATTATATCTGAACAAGTTTTCTGGCTCGACGGAGTTTAAAATTGAATTCACATCATTGACAAACAAACAAACCAAAAAAATGATTAAACTAAAATTCAAGAATAGAGCAACTTTTTTACTTGTGAATGATTCAAATAATACAAAAATCTATTCCTTCGCGAAGACTTTTCCTCTCCTCTGTCGACAATTTGAGTTGTTGGATCGTATTATAACCACTGGAATTCTTTCTAAAGCTAAAAAACTTGCTGACGAATCCAAAACTTTTCCTCTTCTTTCGTCCATCGCCGCTATTGACCTTGCCGCCGTTGCTTAACTTCTTATAACCTGCAACTTTATCACATTCTGCAGATACATATTCTGAACGAAGAAGAGAGTTGTTTGATTTTTCAAAGCTTAATGAAAAACCTTTTTCCACTTTAAAGCTTCTGTTCATCTTCATTGTAGTCCTGCTAAATTAATGAAAAACCCTTTTCCACAGAAATAATCGAATGATTAATAAAATAGACGAATAGCGTCAATGTTTTTTTAAGCTAGTAGGGTTGTGTTGAATACAAACAGATTCGTTTTATTTTGAAACCAAGTCGTGTTATTAAGTATGCTTTCACTGGTTTGTATTAAGCCACCATAACAACCCGCATAAGAGTTTCTCTATTCTAGGAGCCTTGGAGTTTGACTGTTTGAGGGATAGATAAATTTCAGTTGCATTCTAACAATTAAAATTGTCCATGTTTAGAATTTATCTTGTGACCAACTTTAGTTGGATGAGAAAATCGTTGAAGAAATGCCGTAATCCTTCTGAGTTTTTTAGACGCATTCTAGATCCTATCTAAAAGGAGGTTAAATAACATAAAATTACATAATTAACTAAATACCTAAGTCTGTTATTTGCCTATTTTTATTTTTTTATAATCGCAAAGTTAGACTCAAATCAAATCCACCCATTTGTAGTTTATGTTCTCATGAGTAGAGGTGGAACAAATGGGCCGGGTTAGGCGGGTCAACCCTAACCCAGCCTGTATTAAAGAGGGTTCAACCCGGACTGTCAAAATGGCGGGCCGAGTTGAACCCAACCCGCATGCAACCCCCACGCGGGCCGGGTTGCTATATGGCAACCCAGCGACCCGCAGGTTGCAATTTTGTCCTTTCTAAGAAAGGACCGCCAACCCGTCGGGTTGACCCGTGGGTTGGCTAAAAAAAATTTAAAAAAAAACTTAAATTAATTTGGTTTTTTAATTCCCCTTTTACCCTTGAAATATAACCGTTTTGTAGTAGTTGGAGGGGTTTTTTTCATCATTTTATTTTCCCAGTTTTTTCTATAAATTGACCCTAAACTCTCATATTTTCTCACAACTCAAATTCTCTCATTCTCTCTAATCTTTAATCTTTATTCTCTCAATTATTCTCTTAATCTCTTTGTTATCAATTTACTTTTCCACCTTTACTCATGAGTAATATGATTCCTTCGAAGGTCAAGGAGCTAGTTTAATGTTAATCACCTGATGGAGCAAACTTTGAGTTGAGGAGATGCAAAAAAGTTATAAATAAAATTATGTCTTGAAAATCATACTCTTAGGGATGTAATTCTTGATAAAAATGGCCTAAAAATGAAATATTTAACCTCAAGGGGTTGATCCGGTGGTCAATGGAGATTTGTTTCTTTCCTTTAATTCCTGAGTTCAAACCTTAGAATCAGCTACCACAATAACATTGTAGCTAAGTATATGTAAATTGACTCGGATACTCCGATCACTAAAAAAAAAGAAATATTTATGCAGATTATATTTAGGATGTCAATAATTATATATATATATATAAAAAAGACCTTATAATTATTTGGAATTTTTTTTTTTTTAGCATAGGCAGGTTTAATATTCTTGGATCATACTTTTCGCTTCACTTTGAGATGAAGTACGTTATTACTAAGACTCGGGTATCTGAGTTTCATTGTAATGATAGACTTGAAGACTACACCTAAGACTCAGGTCTTTCTGTAAATTTAAAATGGAAAACAAAAAAAGAGGAAGAAGGTTATTATCAGTAATAAGCGAATATATCAAATTGTCTCGGCATCTTTACGCGGAATATCATATTTAGTGGCAGGCGGCAGTATGCAGAATAGTATGCGACGGTCCCCGCTCTAGTAAATAATAAGATAAAGACGTAGTGAGGCAGAGTTTAATTGAAAAGAAAGGTCAATAATAATCGAGTAATTTATGTTATTTAATGCTCAGTTTTTTATTTATTCATTTAATTTTTTGGATGATTAAAGTATTCGAGTCAGTTTGTACGTGTATTTCAACTTAATCCCTCAGAACCCGAAAGTTGACGATCAAGTAACTTCTTTCGTGACCACCTTTATTATGATCTATAAAGACTCAAACTTAGGAGTTCATGAAACCTCTTTTTTATTCTTTTACTATCAAACCACCTAGTGATAGGTAATACTCAATTTATTTGATTTATACACTAGTATTATTATTTGAAGCTACATCACCTTTACGGCTCTACCTAAGTATGAATATTGCACCACCTCCTACCACCGCTGTACAAGAGATAAAACACCTTGTTTTCTTTAATTCCTTGTGTCAGTAAACTTGTTCTGCAATGATTAAGGCCTAGTTTCATTGAACAAAAATTACAAAATTGAAATATAACTTGAATGCATTGCTTGAAATGGTTAAGTTTAGTACCATAAAAAAATAAAATTTAAAAAAAAGATACCTTGTAGTTGTGGAGTCCCAGTTTTATGAAGAACGGTCGATAAAGATATCAGCAGCTTGACTGAATGTGTACGAAATTATGAATAAAGACTATATACTAGGGATGAGCGATTCCGGGTACCCTGTATTTTTCGGAGGAACCGAAACCGGAACCGCACAGTACAGGTTTCCCAAAAAAGGAACCGGAACCGGAACCGCACAGTGCAGGTTCTTCAATTCAAGGAACCGGAACCTAAAATGCAGGTTTCGGTTCTTTTCCAGGGTACCCTGTAAAAAATCAATTACCCCCTTATTAGTTTAAAAAATAACAAAAACACCTTATAAGTTTACAAATACACCCCTAACAAATTTTCATTATTCATTCATTTGTGTCCAATATAACTCATAACCTATAATCTCTAAGCAACACTTGAATTCAATCAATTCATCACAATTCACATAAAATTCGTCAATCAAAACCAAAACAAAAACAATTATTCGTCATACTACAATGTTATAATTAATTAAGTAATATACTATTTAATTATAATGTAATATTATAATTAATTAAATTGTTAATCATTTAATTAAGTATTGTAATATTGTTTATAATAGAATGTTATAATTAATTAAATAATCATACCATAAATTTATAATATAATGTTATTATTAATAAAATTATAATAATTTGANTTTTAAGGGCATTTTAGTCTTTTCACTATTAATAAACAGTAATAAACAGAAATCACTAACAGAACATGACAGAAATTACCTATTTGTCATTTCAAAACCTTTTGAGTACCAACTTATCGTTTCGATAAATCTTGGATATCTGTAAATCGTTCTCCCTTGAAGAGTATTATAATCAACTGATAACTCGAATTAAGCACAGTCCTGTAAAGCAACTGGGAATACACGCCAATGCCCTCTCAATGCATTGCTTTTTCTGTAGTTTACTTTCACATTTTAATGAAACAATCAGCTGGCCTTGGGTAACCCAATCACATTGAAGTCTTCAGCTGTGGACTTCTACCAGATTTTATGCGTTTTGTGATTCAAACAAATTATGAATATGACTTTGTATTGGATCCTTCCCAACTATGTCAGATAAATCCAATTCCAAATTCTAGAAAAAAAACACTTTTCCAAGTCCAACATGTTTAAAAAGTAAGCACGTGGGTCCAAATCCCACCGTTAATGACGACTTAGTCAAAACCATCCACTAAAGGCGCTCTAATTTTCAAGAGTCAATCTAATTGATCACTATAAAGATTTTATAAAGATTTTTGAATTAAATTGCCTTACAAGAAATGAAAAAAAATATTATTTTAAATTTAAAAGAGGATCATCATTGATAATGTGAATTTGATGAATTTGAATGAACGGCTCAAAGATTGAAAAGCATTTCAATTACATGCCACCAAAAATAACAAAACCTAAAAGGATTGGTTTAGTGGTTAAAAAGTTTACTCTCTTAATTGATTTCTTGAGTTTAAATCATCTTGGGACTACTTGTCATATTTATGGCTTACCTGAAACATTTGATTTGTAGGGTATTCAATAAACCTTGAAAATTAGTTGAAGTGTGCACAAATTGGCCCGAACATCATGATTATCTAAAAAAAAAAAAAAAAAAAACCCACCTTAGGGTTACTTATTATATTTGTGACTTACTTGAAATATTGGACTTGTAAGGTGTTTAATAGACCTCGGAGATTAGTTAAAGTGTGCTCAAACTGGCTCGGATACCCTAATTATTAAAATAAAAATAAAAATTAATGACAACATTAGTGCTAAATAAATGAAAGGAGCTTTTATTTACTAATAATTTGTGAAAGGAATTGTGGTCCAATCCACGAACATAACATTATTTAGAGGATCACAAACATAGCATCAATTACTACAGCTAGAATTCCATTCAAGGAGAAGGAACAAAAGTAAGCCAAGAAAGAAAGAAATGCAATGTAGGCCCCATTAAAATTTGCAGAAAATTAATGCCAACATTGCGGACGCACCAATGTACCAACTTTACCAAGTCCGGCACACACTAGTTCCCACCTTAAATAAATTAAGTTAGCCTTCAACCAACAGACTCTCCCTCCTTTTCATCCTCTTTCTGCTCAACCAAACCAATTTAATGAAACTATTCTGTACAGTAACTTACTATTAAAGCATCTATATATCTTTCTGTAACTTTGTCTTTCACTCCACATCACAAAATATTTTCTTTTGAATTGTTCTCGTATAATATTGACGGTTAATTGCTTCACCAGGTGCGTTTGTCTGCTCAATCTTCTAGTCTCCAACAAACTGAAACTAAAAATTTTGTAGTTTTTTTTTTTTTTTTTGGTTCTATTGAATGAATGAAAGTTGACTTATGTATATATAATGAATCGGCTTTTTGTTTGCATATTTGGACTGGATTAGCTGCTTCCCTCAGTGCTTGTTTTAATCATTTATGTCCTGTTTTATTTAAGTTCTTGAGAATGTGTTGTGTCAAGAATAGATCCACTGAATTTTGTTCTTTGTTTGATCTCACAAGTTGTGATCAAATTTTGAGTTTGATGGTTCCTTAGACACCGCTTTTGATTGTAAGATGTTGAATAAGTGAAGGACTCTGATTTTGATTAGATTCACAGTATGGATTCGATTATCTTATTCAACTGATAATCCTGTCTCTCTGTCCTGAAATTTTGTGAATGACTTGAAAGTCTGTTTGTTTATATTTCTAATCGTTGATACAATTACTTTGAGACATTTGTGTCTTAATTCTTGGGCTAGGCTATGTGGGGTGAGAGGAGGTTTGGTGCCTTAATTCTTATGGTAGCCTATAAGGGAACTGGCCAACTGTTGCCATGTTGTCGTTACAGCGACAACAACAGCGACAATTATGATCAACCCGCCTATTCTCATCTCATGAATATTTAACTATTTAATAATTGGTAATTAACTGTGAGAAAATTATCAGTGAATGGGGAAATGAATTGAGTTGTAAGTGACTATAATGGTGAAAATGTGTATTAATTTATCATACATTGTAGTTGTTGATGGAAAGGTTTTTATTCACTTGAGGTAGGATGAATTCCTACAATATTTGCGCATACTGATGTGCATGTTTAATTTGCTGCTACTTTCAGTAAGCATGTTTCTTCGGAGAAGGCAATCTCAGAATCTCCAGGAGAATTGTTCTGAAGAGCGAGAAGCCAAGGTAATAAGCTGAACAGACTCTTTAAGCTTTTGTTTTTGTATATTTGATACTTTTGAGTAAGACAATTTGATTGCTGATCTTCTTTATTTTCTAAATTGCCCAAGAATACCAGTCATTAACCTCTGTGGAAATGTCATACCGTTCAGTATCCATGAAAAAGAAAATATTTTTTAACTTATAAATTCAGCTGTGTTTCTGGTGTAGTCCTTGGGAAATAAAAAAATCTAAAACAAACTCCAGTTTTTTAATTCAATTTCCATAATTCTACTTGAATGAAGGTGTTTTCAGAATGTAAAAATTACAGACCAACAACATTTATTCTGGAAGCAGGTCAAGGAACTCAGAGCCGCTCTTGGACCTCTATCTGGACGTAGTTTGAAGTTCTGCACTGATGCCTGCCTCAGGAGATATTTGGAAGCTCGAAACTGGAATGTTAATAAGGCAAGGAAAATGTTGGAAGAGACACTTAAGTGGAGGTCAGCTTATAAGCCTGAAGAAATTCGCTGGGTATGTAATGAATCTAGACGTTATTCTTGTTTTGTCTTATCATATATTTGGCAGATAATGTCTTCCTACTAATTACACGGACGTATATATGTGATTGTACAGAATGAGGTAGCCCATGAAGGTGAGACTGGGAAAGTATCCAGAGCAAATTTTCATGATCTATTCGGAAGGACTGTACTTATAATGAGGCCTGGGAAGCAGGTTCGCGCTATGAATTATTTTTTCCTTAGTAAATTACCCAATACGTTTAACTTCTTAGTTTTCTCTTTTATTTTGTGTAGAACACATCATCTGGAGAAGGTAATGTCAAGCATCTGGTCTATCTTCTTGAAAATTCTATCCTTAATCTTGCCGAGGGTCAAGAGCAAATGTCCTGGCTGATTGACTTTACTGGCTGGACAATGAACACCAACATCACCATCAAGACAATTCATGAAATAATTTACGTTTTACAGAATCACTACCCCGAGAGGCTAGCCATTTCCATTCTCTATAATCCTCCAAAGTTTTTTGAATCAATTTGGAAGGTTTGAGCTCCTGCCTGAATTAATCTTTGTTTATCTTGATATATATGAACTGAACAGTGCTTATCATTGAAACCAAAACTTCTTGCTACTTTCTTTCTTTTATAGGTGATCAAGTACTTTCTGGACCCAAAAACATCTGAGAAGGTGAAGTTTGTTTACACAGATGATAAAAATAGTGTGGAGTTCATGAAGTCATTGTTTGATGTTGAAAATCTTCCAAGTGAGTTTGGAGGAAAAGCCACACTAAACTATGACCATGAGGAGTTCTCACGATTGATGGCACAGGATGATGTGAAGACTGCCAAGTTCTGGGGATTTGATGAGAAGCCCTTCCAAATTATGGAGAGCCGTTCACAGGCCGAGGTGGCACTGAGTTCACCTGCCTTGTGATATATCTATGAAACTTAAGAAATGTCAAAATGCAGCAACCTGGATTTGGTCATTTGATGCAAATTTTAATTAGTATCTAATTTACTAATACAACTGAAATTGATATCCAGTTTCTTTCTGATGACGAGAATAGTTCATTTGTTCTGCTTATTGCTACTAATGTGAAGAAAGAGCATCTTTATAGTCATTAAATTTTTTTGGTTTGGTGATGTTTCCACTTCAAAGATTAACAAAATGTAAGGTTTGTTTCAGCCTAATGAATGAATGCTTATCAGGAGGCATAGCAAATATAATTAGAAACAATATCTTGTAGGCTTCAAAGTGCTGCTACCCATTCAGCTCTACATTATACATTTTTTATTTTTTTTGGATAAGTCCGAGTCAATTTACATGCACCTTAACTAATTCCTAAAGTCCATTGAACACAATACATTTTACATTGAATCGATCAAATACAATAGCATCTACTATATTCTAGTTCAACAGCATTAATGATTATTAACAAAACGGTTATTTTAATTATTGTTTATGACATCACTTAATATAAAATGAATTTATTGTTTTTGAAAAGCAATATACTCCTAGAGTTACTAAAAAAAACCCTCAAAAATATCAAAATCCCCTGTTAGGAATATTTAGTACTTTTCGGAAATAAGATAACTTCCATATTAGACGATCTCAAAAGAGAAACGAAGTATTGGTGCAAGTGTAAACTCCTCCAACTTTGTTCATGATGAAAACGCTTTTGGCTGTCTATATCCAACTAGAACACCGGCTGCCATTTGCTGCAGCCTTATCTTTCCTTTCCCCAGTGCAGAATTCTGATAAACTTCTTTTATGACCATACTCAGTATAACACTAGAAAAGATGGGATGATAATCATACATCTTTCCTTTAGGCAGTGCAGAATTCTAATTAATTTCTTTTGACCAAACTCATTGTAAAACTAGAAAAGATGATCGATAATCGTACTTTCGAGAATTTATCAAACAATAAAGTTAGGAAACTTTATACTTTTCTGAAGCCACTAACAAAATCAAGCATCGAAGTTTAGCTAGACAAATGTGTGCCATATCAAGGATGGCTCATACACAGGTAGACTTTTGTAAACTGTTACAAGTTATGAGAGAGAATGATGCCTGCAGTCAAATGCATTTCCCCTACAAATCATCTTCTACCCTTCTTAGGTTCACATTTAAATTTTCATATTACATATACATTTATACTTTTCTGAAGCCACTAACAAAATCAAGCATCGAAGTTTAGCTAGACAAATGTGTGCCATATCAAGGATGGCTCATACACAGGTAGACTTTTGTAAACTGTTACAAGTTATGAGAGAGAATGATGCCTGCAGTCAAATGCATTTCCCCTACAAATCATCTTCTACCCTTCTTAGGTTCACATTTAAATTTTCATATTACATATACATTTATACTTTTCTGAAGCCACTAACAAAATCAAGCATCGAAGTTTAGCTAGACAAATGTGTGCCATATCAAGGATGGCTCATACACAGGTAGACTTTTGTAAACTGTTACAAGTTATGAGAGAGAATGATGCCTGCAGTCAAATGCATTTCCCCTACAAATCATCTTCTACCCTTCTTAGGTTCACATTTAAATTTTCATATTACATATACATACCTATGAGCTTATATATCTCTAACCAAAACCGAGGGATTCATAAATGCATCATGCAAGCCAACACGAAAAAGAAGACATACAACAAGGGTAAATTGCAGTCGTCAAATCAAATTCAAATTACAACAAAATCACATCTTATTGCATTCATCCACAATTGCTGGTTACTCTGTACAGTGGTCTTTGTGCAGCAGCTGAGAGCACTCATCGACAAAGTTCATTGGGGTAGAGGCACTCATCGACAAAGTTCATTGGAGTAGAGGCACTCATCGACAAAGTTCATTGGAGTAGAGGCACTCATCGACAAGCTGGCGAAGATTAGGATTTTCTAAAGCAGCTGCAACTCTCTCTTTATCATTCAACTGCTTATTAACTGCAGAAGTGACAACTTACAAATTTCAGGAATAGTTTAGGGAGACTTGAATGGGATGTAATTTCGATTGAGCTAAATATATTGAACTAGAAATGATAACGCAACAGAGCTGTTCTGCCTATGTGGCAAAGACATGTAATTGCATGAACATGTGATGAAAATTAAATTGGCGAGTGAATTAAAAGAAATATATGAAGAAAAAATATTTGATTATCTTTCACACTAATAATTTATGACAGAAATGGCCTGTTCATGAAAAGTATCTATTCTTTGACAAGATTCAATTACATTATTAAGATTGTTGGATGGCAACATAGAAAGTAGTCCATTTTACCTGATTCTTCATCGGCATGAGATCCTGGGGCTACCTTGATGTCAAGCTGCAATGTATTAACACACTCATAAACAATTAACCATGATCAATGCACGATGCAATATGTTGAACATTTCTCAATTACAATATTAAGTATGTTGAACATTTTCCTTTTGCAGTATAAACCAAATTAAGCAACGGAAAATGTTTGCATCCATAACAGTTGAGGAAATTTCATAACAAATTCTATAATGATGGGCATCTACTTACTAACAACAGGTAAGCAGACGATAAAGCTTAGAGTCTTAGACCCATTCGAGTTCCTATTTTCTATCATATGAGAAAGCCCAGAGAAAAAAGCAAAGTTCTTCAAATTATTAATTCATTATATAATCAACAAAACCACAAAAGTTCATATACAAACTGACCTTGAAATGTTGAGGGAAACACTCTTTTAGTTTTTCTCTCAAGCACAGACCAATCACTGTTGCCATACTACAATGTTGAATTGTAGGAGTGAAAGTTATCCTGAAAAATTAAACCATATTTACATAATTTAGCTTAAATATAATCCAAATATCCTAAAACTAAAATTAAATTTATATTCTTAAATAACTTTGATAAAATTGAAGAATTAAAACACTCACAAAATACGCCCACGAGTCTCGTCAACGCTGATAGATTCTTCAGACAGAACACTGAGCTGTTCTAGTGAGTACGGATGCTCTGGATCTCTTATATCTCTCACATAATTTAACATTGTGAGTTAAAGATCAACATTTCTGTTCCAAACATCAAATTAAAAACGAATAAAAGAAGATAGAATTAAAAAATAATAATAATGAAATAATATATATAAAGGATATCATATATTTCGAGAGGATCAACGAAATCATCGCTGTGATGTTCTTCGTTGCGGGGGATCCTTTCCTTCCTAGCGTGGACAACTGGGTTCGCATTGATCAGACCAAGAGTCATCTCTTCTCACTGACTCTCTCTCTCTCTCTCACTCACTCTGCTCGTCTCTCTATTTCATTCTCGTTTCTTCTTCTTCTGTTGTTAACTGTTTAGTTCACGGACTTTGGTCCATATCGGACGGTGAGAGTGCTTTTGGACTTTTACTATTGATTAATGGAATTCTCGTCCCAACCACAGCCTGACACGTCACTTTGCTTTTTCGTGTCTGGTGTGGATGTGTTTTTACGGCGCCCATAGTTTACGCGTCTTCCACTGTAGTCATCTGGCGCTTCCAAATTTGCCACCTCATCACATTCATCCACTGTATATAATGATATTAACCTGTAGAGTAACATTAACCCTGTTTAACCATCGCTGGTGACGTGATGGTAATGTAAGAAACGATTTAACATGAGTTTTTAAATTCAAGTCCGGTCACTGAGAGACGGATTTCATTTTAGGAGCCTAATGGATTAATTGAAGTGTTTATATTATAAATTATGTAATATTATATCATTTAACTTATAATATATCATTTTAGCTTATAATTGGAATCTAAAATTAGGACACATAATAACAAAACAAAATTGTATCTTTAAGAAGAGATAGGGTTTTATTTAGAGAATTTATTGAGTTTTACGGTTCTATTTTGAATAATACAATCTATACTAACTCAAACTCAAAATTTTAATTATATCAATTAATTCTTGAATTAATATGATTTGACTAGTACAAATAACATTGTCTTTCAATTTTTTTGAAATGGTACGTAATAATGTGCGGCCCATCTGGAAAAGAACAAATAACCCAGTCCAACTGGTTCTCTTAGCTTACAATAATACCTCACAGGCTCGCATCAGTTCCTAGCTTAAAATTTGCTTTTTATTCTCATCTTCTCCTTATTATAGGATTCGGATTCCTCAGTTCTCATTACTACATGTTTTCAGTTTCCCCTTTCCCTGGTTCTCCTGTATTAGAAACTCAGAATCATGATGGATACTCTCAACAATTATCCATACACAACGCAATCTAACTTGAGGTGAGAGAAACCACTTCTCGTTTTCTAATTTCTATTGTTTACAAAAGTTTCGATGATTAACGTGTCCGATGTACATGTAGCAGGCCCCCTTGTCTCCATCAGCATGAGCCAATAGATGCAGACATCGCTATTGCTCGGGACAACCAATTCTGCAAAAACACAGCACGAAAATTTTAGGTGAATATCACGGTGTTTTACTTTTACAGCAATTCTATATTTTTACTAGTAAATTGTGGTGTGCCTCATTTGTTCATTGACCAAGTGGGTAGTCAATAATGAGATTAAATTTGTACATGTATAGTCACTTGTAAATAAGCTCAGATGCTGCACTTGTGGTCCCGTAGCTCAGTTGGTTAGAGCGTTGGTCTTATGAGCCGAAGGTCGCGGGTTCGAGCCCCGCCGGGACCATCAGGACTTTTGAATTTTTTAAACCTTTTTTATCAGGACTTTTGGTCTTCGTTTGGTTGGTTTTTAAGCATACTATATTTTCAAAAAAGTTAAACAGTATAATATTCAAAAACTCACAATATTATTCAATTTTTTTTAAATCTCTTAAATTTATTAATTTAATTAAATACCCCTAAATATCTTTTTAAAAATTATAAAAACACCCCAATAATCCACATTTACCAGATTTCGGCCACCATTGTTAGAAAATAGCCGAAATCTGGTAGGATCGTACACTACCGGCTGAATCTGGCTGGTAGTACACCGATCTAGTATTTTCCGATCAGATCTACGGTGGATCTGTTTGAGGGTGGGTTAGGGGTATTTTTGTTAACTTTTAATGTTTTATCATAGGAGGTGTTCTGTAAAAAACAAACATAAGGGGTATTTTAGTAATTTATAAATCCTACATCGTAATACCCGTCCAATTCAATTTTTTTTAACTTTTTTTAAATAATTTTTTTCAAAAACACAAAATTGTGAATCAAACGGAGCCTTGAACTTTTTCTCTGGTCTAATCCTTTTATCTCAGGACTTTTAAATTTGTAAGGCCGTACTTACAATTGAATTATAATAATAAAAAAAAAATGGATAGAATTGTTATTTTATATGAATTTTATAAAAATTATATGTGTTTATATAATTCAATTATAAGTAAAATATTATTATTTAAGATCGAGTAGAGCTATTAACACTTCACTAATAAATTAAAGAAGCTCCATTTATTAGAAATGCGTCATTTCAAAGCTTAATTTTTTTTTCTTATGGTTCCCATAAATGTCCCTTTTTCCAATTTTTTTATTTATTCAGAAAAAGTTAATATTTCATTCCCTTTATTTATGTTGCATACCCTTACTACCATATATCTTAAAACAGAATTTTAGATAATCGAATTGAAAGTTTAGGAAAAATTAAAGCTAAAAAAAATTCTTACAAATAATTCCAATAACATACTAAAGTTAAACAAAAACTAGGGTTTATGCGATAATAATAAAATTTTAAAAGTATTTATAAATAATAAGAAATTAAAATCTGATTTTATAATATTTAATATAATTATAAATTTATCATTATAAAATTTAATAAAAGATGAGACTCTTTTAGTCTATTAGTGGGGCATCAATAGATTATTGAACTTGATCAATGTGGATTGGGTTGTAGGTTTTATCTTATTTAGGCCGAAATGAAGCTACCATTAATTCAGTAAAATTTAGAACGTGTAGTCCAAAGTTACGTTTCACCTTTTATCCTATTGGAATTTGAATACAAGCATCATTTGTAATTGCATTGCGTAATTAATTATCACTTGTTCAGTTGCTCTCACATGTTTGGTGGCATTGGGTTATGGGTGTCTTGATTTTTACACCAATGCCCACACGTATAAAGTGTTAAACAGACTTAGAAATTACACGTGATATGAAAATATCAATAAGAGAATAAATAAGAATCGGTTTTTAAAGTGGTTCGGATACTCAAAAGCGAATCCTAAATCTATTGTGTGAGTTGAATTTTATATATATATATATATATATAGAGAGAGAGAGAGAGAGAGAGAGAGAGAGAGAGAGAGAGAATATGCTTTGGAAGACTGAAGATAAGCTAATCCCATAAATGAGAGAGGAGCACTCTATTATAGTTGGTGGATCAAAGGTAGTAATCATGATTCTGCAATAGGATAGGTGTGATACAATTCTTAACCTGTTTCTTGTTAGTTGTCTGTACGGGAGACATCCTTAAATCGCATAAGGTTTGGATAAATGAACAACTTCTAACCATTCACAAGCTTGGCATTCACCTGTCACACTGATGATAATTGATAGCTATATCTCTTTCGTTCTTACACGATGTGACAACATCTAAACGACACAAACCTGTCCTAAACTGACCCTTGCTAACGTGGACGTTAGCCCTAGATTTTTGAGACATAACAACTATATTTTATCGGGGTCACGTGTGCCCTGTGTCGTTTCTAAGTCGTAGACATATATACCTTAAAGTACACATTAGATCTAGAGATTAGTTATTAAAGTTTACATCACATTAAAGTTTGATTTCCAATGTCGTGCTTGAGAGTTAGGCCCCGCCACTACCACCACTAACACTGATACACTCCATAGCCACAACCTCTGTATGATTGCGTGTAAAGCACCTCGTTTGAATCAACTCATGCCACTTTAATCCATTATCAATTTTGTCATTTCCTCTACCAGCTAAAAATAATTAACGCAGCTTCCGCACTTCAGACACTGCAAGTGCAAGAGAAATGTGGCGGAGGGGCTTCAGCAGCGCAAGCGCCTTGCGCGAGTTGAAGGACAGGAAATGGGACGCGCTGGTGATCGGGGGAGGCCACAACGGTTTGACGGCGGCAGCTTATTTGGCTCGAGGAGGTCTTTCAGTAGCCGTCCTTGAACGGCGTCACCTCATCGGTGGAGCAGCCGTTACTGAAGAACTCATCCAAGGTTTTAAGTTCTCGCGATGCAGCTACCTCCAAAGCCTCCTCCGTCCCTCCGTCATCAGGTGTGCTTATAAATGCGTTAGGTGTGTTGTGTTTACTCAACTACTTAGCACTGTTTTATTTATTTAATTATTTTTAGGGAGCTAGAATTAGCGAGACATGGACTCAAGTTGTTGAAGAGAAGTCCATCATCATTTACGCCGTGTTTGGATGGACGTTACCTCCTGTTAGGACCTAACAAACAACTTAATCATTCTGAGATTTCCAAGTTCTCAAAACGAGATGCCGATGCTTACCACAGGTACTGTTTTTAACTTTTTTTTTTTTTTCTCTATTTCAACCTCTGTTTGTTTAGGTTCCGTGAAATGACTCTGATCACAAGCAAGTATTGACGATGCTCACTATTTATGATATGTGAAATATGTGAGAGTTAACTGCGCACGGATTCAACTGCATGTTACTTGTGACAGTTGGATGATGCGAATGTGTTTGTCTATTTGTTCTCATGTTTACATAACGTGCTTTTAATAATAAATTACAGGTATGAGGATCAGCTGGAGAGGTTCTGCAAATTTATGGATCCACTTTTGGATTCAGCCCCTCCTGAATTGTTACAAGGTATTTCATCTTTCAATGATCGTTTAAAGAATAAAATACACAACTCAGCCTTTTGGGCTAGATGTCTGCGGCAGGCCTTCTCAATGCGGCAAAAAGACATGGTGTAAGTTCTTTTCTGCAATCTTTGGTGATTTTAGTGTTATGTTAACACCTAATGGATGTTGACATGAATAATCAACCTAATAATCATGAATTATTGTCTCTGGTTTATAAGGTGGATTTATTTATTTTGATAGGGATTTTACGGACCTTTTACTGTCCCCGGCTTCAAAGGTTTTGAACAACTGGTTTGAGGTTGTCAGTTAATCTTGATTTCTTCTATGCTATTCTTTGATTCCTTGAATTGTAATTGTTAAGAACAGTGTCTCATATAATTTTTCCTTCTGATTTAAGCTCAATGTTATTATTTGAGTATCTTGCTTACTGTGGATCTACACTGATTAGTTTTATTTTAACTTCTCAAGAATGTCAGTTGATTTTAATGTGCCTTCAAGTAATTGATCCCCTTAACATGCTATTCACGCATTTCTGTATAATACTAAAATTTTGACTATTTAATTTTGCATAATGAATATTGTGCAATATCTGTTATGAACTAATCAAAGCATTTATCCAACCATGTAAGATATACACTTTTTTCGAGCCATAGCAGGATATACACTTTTTCGAGCCATAGTAGGATATACACCATTTCAGCCAAAGTTTTCTAAGAAACGTAGTCCATCATATTATCTTTTGTTAGATGGCCATAAGGACTTCATTTGTTTGTTAAAATTAGATTTTCCTTTTCCAATGCCTATGTTGATGAGTTATATTAGTACTCAAAGACCTCCCTTTTTACAAATGTTATGCCTTTTCTGCTTATTGATGTTCGGGCTTTGTTGTATACAGGGAGATGTTTTGAAAGCAACCCTTGCCACAGATGCTGTGATAGGGAGCACGGTAAAATCCTTGTAATTAGTGTTGAGATGGATTCGTTTTAAATTAAATTGATCTATATAAATTAGTGCTTGAGAAAGTGCAGTTATGCAATATAGGTTTTTTCTGAATGACAAGGATGTGATTGGGGTTTGTTTCATTGTGATTCATTTAGTTGAATGCTTCCACATTTTTTTTCATTTTTACTGGAGCTAATCATTTGGCCTATTTAATTGTCTATTGTAGGGTAGTGTCCATACACCTGGGAGTGGCTATGTCCTTCTGCATCATGTGATGGGAGAAACCGATGGTGACCGTGGAATTTGGTCGTAGGTATTTCTGTTGCTGGCTTGATGTATGTATTGTGCATCAGAGAAATAGCAAGCCGTAAATTACCTACCATCTCTTTACTATTCTGAAGAATCTTTGGATTTATCTTGTATCTGTAGAAATCTATTATCTTGTATTCCTGGGATCTTTAGGAAGTAAATATTGTAATGAAATTTGATAATTAGTCTAGCTAAATCCCACCTGGTAGTGTCCTGCATACTTGCCTTGATCCCAGTATGTCATCATTTTTTGTATTTATAGATGACGTTGTAATACGACATTTAGGAGTGTTAAGGAGCCTTGTTATAGAGTACACTTGGATATGTTTTGTCAAGCTCATATCGTCTGCCCATGTCTCGCTAAATTAATTTTATACTTCTGTTATGTTACAATTTCCAGAGTGGTTCATTGCTAGTAAATATTGATAAATATTTCATGCGCCATGATGTTATCAGATCCATCTTATTATAAGCTTTGTCTTACACGACTCGTACTTGATAACTAACATTTCTGTAGGTATGTTGAAGGTGGGATGGGCTCAGTATCCATGGCCATTGGCAATGCCGCTAGGGAAGCTGGGGCTTGTATTTTGACTAGTGCAGAGGTTTGCTTGTCTGGAATTATTCCTTTAGCCTTCATAACACGTCCTTCATTACCAATGATTAAAGTGTTTTTCTATGAACTTTTAGAAAAAAATAATTGATAAACTAAAATATTTCATTTTCTGTGAGAAACAACAATAATAGGCATGGAATTTTAAATTCTAAAACCTATTGAAATATACTTAAAAATATGTCTAAGGGCTGTAATAGGGATGCGATTGCCAGTGAGGGTAGTAATCATGAGAAATGACAGAGTTGTAAACTGGTGTGGGCAAGAGAGGGACAGTCCTAGTCTTACATGATTACTGTTACACACAATCTAGCTTGGCCTTGTGGAAATTTATGTGGAGGAAGTTTCTTTTTTTATAATTACTATTGCCTGGACAAGTTAACAGACAATATTGTCTGCGTAATCTTTAATTCATGTTTTGGTTAGGAGTAATTTTTTAATTCAATCTCATACATTTATTTTTTTTGGCTCATTTTTTTTTTTTTTCAGTTGCTTGACCCTTGCTAGTTGCTATGTTTCTTTTCTCAGGTTTCAGAGTTGATGATCAATGATTCTGGCAGAGTAAATGGGGTTTGTTTCACCACCTAAATTCCCTCAATGAAGTGGGCTTTGAAGTTTGGGTTGAACTAATTAAATATTACTGGCCATCTATATTTAGGTACTGTTAGCTGATGGGACACAGGTGCATTCTTCAATTGTTTTATCGAATGCAACACCTTATAAAACTTTCATGGTAAATCTTTATCATTCTTGTTTTATCCTGTGTGTTAAGCTTGGATACATTGTTGCTGTAAATGGATTTTAATGGTGATCATAGGCTGTGCTTTCCTAACACAGGAGTTGGTGCCAAATAATGTCCTTCAGGATGATTTCATCCTTTCTATTAAGCACTCTGACTACAGCTCTGTAAGCTACCTTTATAACTACTTTTTTTTTTTTGTTACACAATTTTATTAACAGTCTGTCTCTTTTGTGTCATTTGATCTGCTATAATACCAACAATTTGGAGTATGTAGGTTGTATCTGTTCGTTTAAAAGCTTAATGTGAATTAATAAAGATATTCTGTGAAATACAGCTCGGTGGTAGTTGGCAGTGCCATAAAGTATAACATTTGGATTGCCAGTTTACTGTGAAAGGAAATAATTGCTGTGAGTTTTATTAGATCTAGAGATTTGGATACAAATAATTCAGACAAGAAGCATGGGTCTGATTCTCATTTGTGCCAGATTCTATGAATTTTCTGTTGAATAGAAACTGGAGCCATACAGTTAAATAGGGGTTGTTCTTATACGTTTATTACACCTAAATTTAATTTCCAATGTTTTTCTTTTTCCACATAAATTTCTTTCTTTACTATGAACTTGTAAAGGTAGAATTGATTGTGCAATTGTACTAGCTGTGTATTAAGGTGTGAAATTTTGCTTAAAATCATGCTTAAAAGCCATAGAGGCTTCATGGGAGCTAGTTCTGTTACAGTTATGGGGACATTCAGTGGTGGAACAACAGTTACAAAACGTTGTAGGACTTCTTTCTTACAGCTAAGCTTATCTTTGTTATGTGTGATTGTCTTTCACTGGAACAGGGAACTACAAAGATAAACTTAGCTGTCAATAAATTGCCCCAGTTTTCTTGTTGCAAGTTAAGTCATTCTGATCCAGGTCCTCAGCATGTGGGCACCATACATATTGGTTCTGAGAGGTACACTACTATTTCACCGTTGTTTATTTGTTGATTCTAGATCCATGTTTTTGCTTCATATATAGTTTTCGTGAGAGGGTTAGTCTCTGTTAGGGTAGGGTAATATTTGCCAATTGCCATTCCCTGAGCACATTGTTAGAAGCCCAAACCTTATTGGAGAGAAAATAGCAAGTCTGATCATCAAAGTGTTTTCCTTTAGCTTGCATTGTTTGTTTCTGTTTCTTAGATTTTAAAATTCAACCAAGATAAAGGACTACTGTAGTTAACAAGCAGGGTAAGAGCCAGAGCAGCACTAGTGCTGTTGACTAATAACTGTAGGAGTTAGATTAGACCTTGATGATGGATGGAATGGTTACTTTTGCAGTGGTTATCACTTAAATATATTGATTATTTTGCTTCAAAATCAAACTATGTTATCCTACAATATTATCTTACAGTGTACCGTCAATAGCACAAATGAGTCAGACCTGAACTGTTTGGCAAATCAGGTATTTTGGTAACATCTAAAAGCATTGAAATCTTTTGGCAATGTTTGACGCCCAAATTTAAATTTATTTTAGCATGTTAACCTATGAAACCATTTAGTTTCAAGACTGTCTGCCTCTTCTAAAAATCTATTTTGTCACTTTGTTTAGCATGGAGGAGATTGACTCAGCATGCCAAGAAGCTGTCAATGGATTACCATCTAGGAGGCCAATTATTGAAATGACAATTCCTTCTGTTCTGGACAAGACTATTTCTCCACCTGGTACTCAAGACTTTGCCTTACATGCATCTGATGTTGTTGGATGATTTTTAGTCTTCTCCTTCACAGTACTTTATCTTGAAAGAACTAACATGGGTTCCAGAACTCAAATCATTCTTATGAAATTTATAGTCAGAGATTTATCGCATTAACTGCATGAGATATAGTCACTTTAGTACATTGTAAATTAATTAAGTTTTGACTTTATTTTTGTAGGAAAGCACGTTATTAACTTGTTTATTCAATACACACCTTATAAGCCATCGGATGGCAGCTGGACAGATGCTGCTTATAGGGTGAGTAGATCTGAAAAATTGAAGTTGGTTTCACTTACAAGCTTATTATTATGTTAAACTTTTAGAAATTTTTCTAATGATTTTCCAGACCTGCCTATAATTTTTATTTTTTATTTTTAAGCGGTCAGATGTTATTGTGGTCCTAAAATGATTTCACACACTAATCTGGTGAGCAATATCCATCAATTTCTGTTGCAGGAATCATTTGCAAAAAGATGTTTCACCCTGATTGATGAATACGCCCCTGGCTTCAGCTCATCAATAATTGGATATGACATGCTGACACCACCAGATCTTGAAAGGGAAATTGGTTTGACAGGTACTTGAAAGCTATAACTCTGTGATCCAAAATCAATTAACATAAATTACATTATTCTCTAATTAAAGAATAATTCACAGGAGGAAATATCTTTCATGGCGCTATGGGATTAGATTCTCTTTTCCTCATGCGACCTGTAAAAGAATGGTAATTCTTAATTTCTTCTAACATACTATGTGTGCTATGTTCATAGCTTAGACAATTGTTTACTCTAATTTCTTCCTTTATGCTGATTTAGATGCAAATTCTTAATGTTATTTTACAGGTCAAATTATAAGACTCCACTGCAAGGACTGTATTTGTGTGGTAGTGGGACTCATCCAGGGGGTGGTGTGATGGGTGCACCTGGACGCAATGCTGCACGAATGGTTCTTCAAGATTTCAGAAAATGATTTATTTGATGCTCGTAAGTTGCAGCCGTGGTGCTTCCAATGTTCAGTCTATCTTAATTTAGCACATTTGTAATATCAAATAAGTGTCTTGTGTATTAAACAATCCCTTCTTCACTTTCACCTATCTTTTATTTATGAGCTGTGTAACAAAATAGTATGCATCTGCTAAGTCATAAAGGTCAATAGTATGGAGATGGATCATGAAACCATGTATTAGTAGACAAAAATAGGAGGAGCAGGAGGAGGGTTTTTTTTTTTTTCTGTTTGTGTAGGAAGTTGGCTATGGTTGAGAGTTGAGACAATGAAAAAGTTGGACGAACTTAGTTTGAGTTGATTTGTACAATTGCGCAAAAGTCAATGATATTATATTAATGACCAAACACGGTCGGTACTAGCTGCCTTCTACAGGTATATCCTCTAGCTAGTTTCATGTAGAAAAAACACAAATTTTTTGGCTCTAAGAGTGATTGACCTATTTGATCTTTCATGGTAAATCTTTATCATTCTTGTTTTATCCTGTGTGTTAAGCTTGGTTACATTGTTGCTGTAAATGGATTTTAATGGTGATCATAGGCTGTGCTTTCCTAACACAGGAGTTGGTGCCAAATAATGTCCTTCAGGATGATTTCATCCTTTCTATTAAGCACTCTGACTACAGCTCTGTAAGCTACCTTTATAACTACTTTTTTTTTTTTTTGTTACACAATTTTATTAACATTCTGTCTCTTTTGTGTCATTTGATCTGCTATAATACCAACAATTTGGAGTATGTAGGTTGTATCTGTTCGTTTAAAAGCTTAATGTGTATTAATAAAGATATTCTGTGAAATACAGCTCGGTGGTAGTTGGCAGTGCCATAAAGTATAACATTTGGATTGCCAGTTTACTGTGAAAGGAAATAATTGCTGTGAGTTTTATTAGATCTAGAGATTTGGATACAAATAATTCAGACAAGAAGCATGGGTCTGATTGTCATTTGTGCCAGATTCTATGAATTTTCTGTTGAATAGAAACTGGAGCCATACAGTTAAATAGGGGTTGTTCTTATACGTTTATTACACCTAAATTTAATTTCCAATGTTTTTCTTTTTCCACATAAATTTCTTTCTTTACTATGAACTTGTAAAGGTAGAATTGATTGTGCAATTGTACTAGCTGTGTATTAAGGTGTGAAATTTTGCTTAAAATCATGCTTAAAAGCCATAGAGGCTTCATGGGAGCTAGTTCTGTTACAGTTATGGGGACATTCAGTGGTGGAACAACAGTTACAAAACGTTGTAGGACTTCTTTCTTACAGCTAAGCTTATCTTTGTTATGTGTGATTGTCTTTCACTGGAACAGGGAACTACAAAGATAAACTTAGCTGTCAACAAATTGCCCCAGTTTTCTTGTTGCAAGTTAAGTCATTCTGATCCAGGTCCTCAGCATGTGGGCACCATACATATTGGTTCTGAGAGGTACACTACTATTTCAGCGTTGTTTATTTGTTGATTCTAGATCCATGTTTTTGCTTCATATATAGTTTTCGTGAGAGGGTTAGTCTCTGTTAGGGTAGGGTAATATTTGCCATTCCCTGAGCACATTGTTAGAAGCCCAAACCTTATTGGAGAGAAAATAGCAAGTCTGATCATCAAAGTGTTTTCCTTTAGCTTGCATTGTTTGTTTCTGTTTCTTAGATTTTAAAATTCAACCAAGATAAAGGACTACTGTAGTTAACAAGCAGGGTAAGAGCCAGAGCAGCACTAGTGCTGTTGACTAATAACTGTAGGAGTTAGATTAGACCTTGATGATGGATGGAATGGTTACTTTTGCAGTGGTTATCACTTAAATATATTGATTATTTTGCTTCAAAATCAAACTATGTTATCCTACAATATTATCTTACAGTGTACCGTCAATAGCACAAATGAGTCAGACCTGAACTGTTTGGCAAATCAGGTATTTTGGTAACATCTAAAAGCATTAAAATCTTTTGGCAATGTTTGACGCCCAAATTTTAATTTATTTTAGCACGTTAACCTATGAAACCATTTAGCTTCTAGACTGTCTGCCTCTTCTAAAAATCTATTTTGTCACTTTGTTTAGCATGGAGGAGATTGACTCAGCATGCCAAGAAGCTGTCAATGGATTACCATCTAGGAGGCCAATTATTGAAATGACAATTCCTTCTGTTCTGGACAAGACTATTTCTCCACCTGGTACTCAAGACTTTGCCTTACATGCATCTGATGTTGTTGGATGATTTTTAGTCTTCTCCTTCACAGTACTTTATCTTGAAAGAACTAACATGGGTTCCAGAACTCAAATCATTCTTATGAAATTTATAGTCAGAGATTTATCGCATTAACTGCATGAGATATAGTCACTTTAGTACATTGTAAATTAATTAAGTTTTGACTTTATTTTTGTAGGAAAGCACGTTATTAACTTGTTTATTCAATACACACCTTATAAGCCATCGGATGGCAGCTGGACAGATGCTGCTTATAGGGTGAGTAGATCTGAAAAATTGAAGTTGGTTTCACTTACAAGCTTATTATTATGTTAAACTTTTAGAAATTTTTCTAATGATTTTCCAGACCTGCCTATAATTTTTATTTTTTATTTTTAAGCGGTCAGATGTTATTGTGGTCCTAAAATGATTTCACACACTAATCTGGTGAGCAATATCCATCAATTTCTGTTGCAGGAATCATTTGCAAAAAGATGTTTCACCCTGATTGATGAATACGCCCCTGGCTTCAGCTCATCAATAATTGGCTATGACATGCTGACACCACCAGATCTTGAAAGGGAAATTGGTTTGACAGGTACTTGAAAGCTATAACTCTGTGATCCGAAATCAATTAACATAAATTACATTATTCTCTAATTAAAGAATAATTCACAGGAGGAAATATCTTTCATGGCGCTATGGGATTAGATTCTCTTTTCCTCATGCGACCTGTAAAAGAATGGTAATTCTTAATTTCTTCTAACATACTATGTGTGCTATGTTCATAGCTTAGACAATTGTTTACTCTAATTTCTTCCTTTATGCTGATTTAGATGCAAATTCTTAATGTTATTTTACAGGTCAAATTATAAGACTCCACTGCAAGGACTGTATTTGTGTGGTAGTGGGACTCATCCAGGGGGTGGTGTGATGGGTGCACCTGGACGCAATGCTGCACGAATGGTTCTTCAAGATTTCAGAAAATGATTTATTTTATGCTCGTAAGTTGAAGCCGTGGTGCTTCCAATGTTCAGTCTATCTTAATTTAGCACATTTGTAATATCAAATAAGTGTCTTGTGTATTAAACAATCCCTTCTTCACTTTCACCTATCTTTTATTTGTGAGCTGTATAACAAAATAGTATGCATCTGCTAAGTCATAAAGGTCAATATCATGGAGGTGGATCATGAAACCATGTATTAGTAGACAAAAATAGGAGGAGCAGGAGGAGGCTTTTTTTTTTCTTTTTTGTAGGAAGTTGGCTATAGTTGAGAGTTGAGACAATGAAAAAGTTGGACGAACTTAGTTTGAGTTGATTCGTACAATTGCTCCAAAGTCAACGATATTATATTAATGACCAAACACAGTCGGTACTAGCTGCCTTCTACAGGTATATCCTCTAGCTAGTTTCATGTATAAAAAACACAAATTCTTTGGCTCTAAGAGTGATTGACCTATTTGATACCAGTTAGACTGGTTGAGGCCTTGAAGTTGAGGGTTGAGGGTAAGGGTTAGTTTCCACCCTTTGACATAGAGGTGGGAAAGGCTGAGGCCCAATCGGTCTTGGGCTTGGGTCTTGGGTTCACGAGATTTCTCAGGGCCCAGATCGGTCCTAGTGGACCCCTATGGGCATGAATTTTTTTTCTTTTTTGTAAAATGTCATTTTAACCTTATATTTACTATCAATTTTTAAATAAGGGGTTTTAGATATTTTACAAAGGTTAAAAGAAAATTGTGGAGGGGGTTTGGGTCCTGGGCCGGGCCGGGCCGTGGAGGGGAGACCGGTCCTAGGCCCGAGCCCTCCTCCCTTGGGCCTGATCTGGTTCGGTCCGATTCTTAGACCAGTTTTTTTAGCTGGGCTTTTTGGGTCTGGGCTAATTCCCACCTCTACTTTCACACAGCAGAGTGCTTGTTTTGGATTATATTATGTCCAATTAATTTGGAAAGAAAGAAGGAAAATAAGATTCCATAAATGATACACAAAACGAAGTTTCACAGTGAATAATACAACCCATCGTAAGAGACATCCAAATTTCATATCCTAAGTGGAAATGTAATAAAGGGATTGGCAGGGGATGATGTAAAAGCTTATTGTAATTATATAACCTATCACTACTACTGTACTTAGTTTTTAATTGTTTATTTATAAAACTTATTTTCATAATTAAGAAAACTTATTTTGGTCATATCACATATAGTATCTCTATTTCTTAAAGTAAAAATAATTTAAAATTATTATAATTACATTAATAATAAAAATAAATAAGAGCATTTAAAAAATATATATATATATATATTAATTTATTCCGCTTTTTTTAGATTATTTTCTTGAAAGGTAAATACCGGTTTAGGAATAAATGGTGATGACAAGTTAGTCCTTAAGGTTTTGTGTAAATAAGCTTTAGTCTTGTAGAATTTTTTGTAACGTCTTAGTCCTTGTCAGCATCATTTTGGTCCCAAGGTTTGCTGATGTGTAATGAGTAATGACTAGAGTCACTAGACCAAAATGTCATCTAACAAGGACCAAAATGTCATTGACAATCTAACAGGGATCAAAAGTGACTATATAAGATTAAAGGGTACTTATGTCACTTTTAGGGATGCAATTGTTATTTTCTCAAAGGCTAGAATTAGAGTCGACAGTGGGCCGTGTCGTGGGCGAAAAAAGCACGACATGAAAATATGCAGGCCATGCCGTGGGCCTTAAAAAAAACCCGTGGGCTAACACGGCATGACACAAAAAAAATAAAATTAAAAAATATTTGAAGATTTTAAAAATTTAGAAATTAATAAAAATGAAGATGTACAATAATTCTTAATCCTAATTTCTAATTTCTAAGTTCGTATTTGTAATTTATAATTATAACTTATAAGTAATAAAAAATGTTGAAATTCAATTAATATTTCAGTGTCTCATTATTTTATTATATTTCATAGTGATTGTATATTTTTAATTAATATAAATACAAAAAGTTACTAAATATAACATATAAAATAATGTTATAATAATTATTAATAATAAATCAAAATTACCATAATTTATAAATATTAAAATTAAATATTTTTACAAAGCACGTGCATGGCACGACCCAAGACATGACATGATATATAACGAACCGTGTTATGGGCCTTCAAATTTTGTGGGCCGGCACGATAGGGCACAAAATTGTGTGAACCTTGGCAAGGCACATCCCATGATACAATGGGACTTGAATTTGTAGGTACGGCTAGGGCTGCAAACGAACCGAACAGTTCGCAAACGTTCGTTGTTCGTTCGATTACTGTTCGATAATGTTCGCGAACAATTCGATATTCGTTCGATAATATGTTCGATCGAGTTTGAACATGGGTTGTTCGTTCGATTATGTTTGCGAACACTATACGTTCGACTAATCCTAGATGTTCGCAAACAATCGTTCGATTGTTCGTTCATTTATGTTCGAAAAACATGTTATGCATTATTATAATTTAATTTTTTTTCATTTTTATATTATGTTTGATTTAGTTTGGATGAATTTTTTTTAATGGTAATCAATAATAAAATATTATGATACTTTTGTTTTTCTTATATATATATATAATATGTTTGGATTTTTTTTTTTTCCAAATGTCATCAATAATGAAATATATAAGTATATAACATTTTAATTAAAAAGTAATAAATTATTATGATAACTAGCATGACAAATTTAATAACATAATAAATTGTATAATCAAGTGATATATAATATAATAAATCCAATAACATAATAGCTTCATATTTTTCTAAATGTAATCAATAATTAAATATTATAAGATATCATTTCAATTAATAAATAATAAATATAGTATGGTAAATTGATAAACANAGGTTTGCTGATGTGTAATGAGTAATGACTAGAGTCACTAGACCAAAATGTCATCGACACTCGACAGGGACCAAAATGTCATTGACAATCTAACAGTAGTGATGGCAATGGGTCGGGTCAAGACCAGGTACCCCTTGGCGTAGGCTCAAGTCCGACCTCATGACAAAGACCCAAGTCCGTCACGGGTATGATAGGTAAAGCCCAAGCCCGACCCGATGGGCTTTTTGTAAACTCAGGCCCGGCCCAAGCCCGCTCAATTTTATAATGTGAATTTTTAAATATTAATAAATTTCAATTTTTTTTTATATTTTTAATTCTAAAAATAGTTTTTAAATATTAATTTATTTTTAAATACTCATCAAATGGGATGAGATTAGGGTTTGAGAAAAATGGGTATATATATGTAGGATAATCTTGTAATTAAATATATAGTATAGAGATAATTTAGTAAAATTAATACTAAAATTGTCGAGTCGGGCCAGGCCTGAAGACATACTTAGGCCCGGCCCATACCCGAGGTCGGGCCTTAAAATCAGGCTCAGGTCCAAGCTCGACCTTTTCGGGTTGGGTCGGCTACCCGAAAATAGTGGACCCATTGCCATCTCTATCTAAAAGGGATCAAAAGTTACTATTTTAGGGATGCAATTGTTATTTTCTCAAAGGACAGTGATAAGTGATAACTAAACTTAGCTGTGGAACACAACAAAAGACAAGAGTTGGATCCATGTGGATACCCTTTAACACAAGCCCTAACAATAGAAAGGAACCATTTATGGAAAGTGAAAGTTCCACGCACTGACGGCGCATCCAATGTTGTAACATTAGCATGGCCACCACTCAGGATCAGGAAGACGACGAAGACGATATTAATCCCATCACAATGCTGTTTCCGGCTGATGGACACCACCATCCCAATAATGGAGTGTTGTTTCCGGCACGCGAAGTGGAAGAAACTTCAACCGACCAATATGACATCTCTTCAATCAAGTCAACCTTGCTCATACGCCAGCTCCCTTCTCAAGGCCTTTCCTTTCAGCTCTGGCCGGCAGCCAGAACGCTTGTTTCCCTCCTCGACCTCTACCGCACTCACCCTACTCATAGTCCTCTCGCCCCCATTTTACCCGACGGACGGGATCATCGCCACCTCAGCATACTAGAGCTTGGCTCTGGCACTGGCCTTGTTGGCATAGCTGCCGCCGTTATTCTCGGGGCTAACGTCACCCTCACTGACCTCCCTCATGTCATTCCCAACCTCCAATTCAACGCCCACGCCAACGCCAATTTGTTGTCCCTCCAAGGTGGGACCGCCCACGTGGCACCTCTTAGGTGGGGGGAAGCTGATGACGTGAATGTCATTGAGCGGGAATTTGATCTTATATTGGCCTCTGATGTTGTTTACCATGATCACCTTTATGACCCTCTTCTCGAAACGCTGCGTTTGTTTCTGAATTCAGGCAAGGAGAAGAAGAAGATGACGTTTGTTATGGCTCACTTAAGGAGGTGGAAGAAGGACTCGGTGTTTTTCAAGAAGGCAAAGAAAATGTTTGATGTTCAAACTATACACGTGGATCCTCCTTGCAATGGGGCCAGGATTGGTGTGGTTGTGTACTCTTTTTATGGAAAGACAGAAAAAAATATGAAGAATCCTTGTTAGTGAGTGTGGGGAAGGATTTGTTTCAGAAATTGAATTGCGCTTGAGAAAGTACTTTTGTGTAACTTCAGTTTTCTAAATGACAATGATGTGATGGGGGTTTATTTAATTCATTAATTGTGATTAACTTTTCAATATCTTTTTCAATTTTACCAGAGCTAATCATTTTGCCAAATGAAATCTCTATTGTGGGGTATAGTGTCCTTAAACCTGGGATGGATATGTTGATGAGAGAACGACAGAGCAGGGAGACTGATGGTTACCGTGGAAATTGGTCGTACTCGTAAATTACCTACCATACCTTCTTGGGATGTATCTTGTGACATCTATTATCTTAAATTCCTGGGATATTTAGGAAGAAAATATAGTAGCGGAATTTGATATTTCTTGTCGAACTAATCCCTCTGTAGTGTCCTGCAAACGTTCCTTGAATCATAAGGAGTTCTCAGCATCCTGAAAATTTTGTCAAGAATCAAAATCTATGTCATAAGTTGCACAACCTCATTCTGGTGATGTCGTGCCACAGTACTACGGTTGGTTCGCTCACTTCGGCATTGTGATGCTCACCGACAGAGCTGAAGACCCAGAGTTGAGGCGCTTTTATTCTCCGCCTGTCAGCATAGAAATGTTACGGAGTTTCAATATTAGAGCGGGCCTTTTGGTCAAAAAGAATTTTGCCATACTAATACGCTGGAATAAGGGAACAAAAAAGTAGACTATCTAGAGTGAATATGTGAACAAATTTTTCTATGTTTCTTGGAGCTACTTTGAATTAAATCTTTTGCGGTTGAAGGATTTTTTAGTTAAAAATTAATTTTGAAACTTAATGATAAGAGGCTCTGCAATTATTTTGCGGTTTAAAAACCTATTATCTTCCTTAATAGGCGGATTATACAGGTTAAAGAGAGTGGCCTAGGAACCTAACCCTCCAGAATGATTCACTGTTGAGAAGCGAAATTGTTCAAAATTGGTGATGCCAGTTGATTTGCGGGCAGAAGCCGCAACTATCCTGTTTCAAGAAAAAATGATCAAACTAACCAAATAAAAAGCAAGCCTTTTCTTTCCATGGCTACAGCTGGTAGTGGTTACTACACATTTCATACCAGAAAGTAATTATTGTTATATGGATAAAAAGGATTTTCCAACATTGGAGCCTACAAATGGTGAATTGCTAACCAATATTGAAAGTCCTAAAAATCTCATATTCCCATTTAGTATATCAATATTGTACATTCAATGGAACAACCATAAAAAATCCACATGCCATGAATTAAATTCAAACGACATTCCTCATAATGAATATTAATAGTCATTATTCAGATTTAGGAAAAGATATAGAATATTTTCCTCCACAAACAATTTACTTTTGATTGACAACCTTCACCAGTCAACTCCTTGGGTGCCCAGTAACCAAACAGCCAAACCAGTCTTTATTGAGTTCAATTGTCTGTTGATAGATGCCAGCAATAAAACCAAATTTCTGCGGTCAAACAGCTAAAAACTTCACCAATTTACAACACTGATCATTGGCATAGCTCAACCAAAATCACATGTTAACCTGTAAAACAGAAATGGATTTGGCAGCCAACTGAAAGCATTCAAATGTGTGACATCAACCATTTTAACAGCTCTCTTTGCACCTAATACTACCGACTTCGCCAACTAGAAACTGACTTGGAAACAAGTGTGATAGCATTTGAGGCTGATTCCAACCTGCATCATGAATAAATTTAATCCATTAATTACACACACTATGCACAAATATACAGAGAGGAAAAACACAAAGAGAGAGAGAGAGAGAGAGAGAGAGAGAGAGCACTTTGATATTTCTTCAACAGCCTTGATAACTTCTGTAGAACTTGTTTCCAGCACTTGACCTCCAAAAATGATCTCATCCAAAATAGTATGCATCTGCAGAGAAATAAAGGTTAGTTTTATGGAGGTGTGCATTAACAAATAACCTGAGGGGACGGGGCATTTTTCTTTTTGTGAAGAAGTAGGCTATAGTTAGTACTAAAAATGAAAAAGTCAAGTCAGAAGACCTCTGTTGAGTTGTCTCAGTTCATTGGTGCCATTGCTTAAAGCCAATGATATAAAAATGACTAGTAGAGAGAGTCCATATACTAGATGGAAAAGGGAACCAGTAGCTAAGAGAGAGTGACCCTATTTGATAGCAACAACAGTATTTTACACAGGATATTGAAATGTTACTTAACAAAAGTTCAACAAATTCATTGAGAAAATTTAATAAGGAAAACATTGACCTCACAATGTGATTCAACATTTGTGTATAGGTTTCATGATGGTAGAACTAAAAAGTCATCTAGCAGTAGAATCATTCAGCAGGTGAAAGCAGTACAGTAGGTCTCACCAGTTTATCAAGTAAGGTGAAACATAATAAATAGTATGAGCATATCTTTAAACTAAATCTTTCAAAAGTAAAATGGTAAAGCTAATTTCCACCCTTTGACACAGCACAACACACAATATATTATGTCTGTTAAATCCATCAAAAAAGAAAAAGAAAAAAAAAAGATTCCATACATGAACAAGTACAACAAACAGAATTTCACAATTCACAGGCACCAACATAAGACAATTTAACACCAAGATTGTGAGAGGAGTATACAACCTTGCTGTAATTGTATATAATGTCGAGCTCACATACGTTTTTGAAGCATTTGTCTAATGTCTCCACAAAAACTGCAGGCATCAAAGTTTAGGTAAAGCAATCAGCTAACCAAGTCAAAAGTTCAGAAGAAAAAAGAGTTAGTATTTACATAATCAATAAACCATTTACTGAAACATTCAGCTTATTCTTTACAAAAAGGACATCCACAATGAACCTACACTATTGCATCAAATCTACAATCTGTTTGCCCCATCAAACTGCCAGGAAGATAATGATCGTGAATGAATGATCACTAGATTGACATAAATTTGCCGAAAGTGTAGTGCCATACACTCCAGCATTAAAATGTTAAATAAGCTGATAAATAACAAAACCGCCTTTTACTAACATCCAAATGTAATTACATTTATACTTAACACGAAAATTGTCAACTATATAGAATTATGATCGATAATGAAACAGAGACAACAAAACCTTGCCGTCTAGAGAATTTACCCTGAATTAGGTCAAGCATAGCAAGCTCATTTTCAGAACTATCAAATATGAAAACAAAGTAAAGAGTTGCATAGTGCTTATATACAAGGCGAGTATCCTGCAGGCCAAAACAGAGGAAAAAACAGTAACTATGAGCAATTTAAACTAAAATAATATAACAAATACAAGAAAATAAAAAAGTACAGGAGGTGGAAATACCGGGCCGAAAATTAAATCAGCCTCTATGAAATTGCTGACATTTTCAGCTCTGCTGCACAAGGCTGTGAAAATAAAAAGAAAAATAGATAAAGAAATGAAAAATCAATGAGAGAATTGTGTTGTTGAGCGCACAAGAGATAGAAAAACCTCCAAAAACGCTGCGTATCAGCTCCTGCTGCTTCTCGACAGGCTGAGATCACAAAGAAAATTGATTAATAAACAACGTAAATAAATTCAGCAAAAGTTGATAGTTGAAGGGAAGGAGAGAGGGACCTGAAAATCGTAAAATTTGGCAAGACGAGGCTTGCCCTGAGTGTTCATCACCATCACCGATCTTATCATGCCTGTTTTCTTTGGCTTCTCTCCCTCGCTTTTCTGTTTTTATTCTTTTTCAGTTTCTTTTAATATAGAGCCTCGACTTATTTGCAATCTCAATTTTATCCCTTAATGTTACAAAACTCTTTCTTTTACCCCTAAGATATAGAATTGGGACAAATGATTGCAATTAAGTGAATACAGGCGAGGACAAGAATTATGATGTTCTTCGAGAAAGCAACGAGGCAGTTCGATGATGATGAAGTTATACATCAATTGTATGATTAGCGCGGATTGTACAAACAAAGAGAATTTGTACAAACTTACGTGACACACCACAAAGCATACCATATAGTATTAAAATCCACGTAACTTAAAGTCGCATTAATATTATATGGACCCTTATATCACATGACACTGACACGGTGTGTCAGGTAAATTTGTGAGAATTAAGAATAAAAAAAGGGGGAAATGATGAACCGTAGTCAAATCAGAGTTCAGTTCATTTCGATTATAACTCAAGATACTCTGATTATACAAACTGCCTACAAGCAGCAAAAAATATACTCCATTGCCTTTCTTTTACACCATGTTTTTTACAGGAAGCAACTTCAATCAAATATAAAAAAGCCTCAACAACTAAAAACTATAAATAACTTCACATTCATACACAATCTCAAAACCAATACACTTCTCAAGCCTTCGACAAACCACCATTCTGCTGCAAAAGCTTGCTTCTATTCTCCATTTCATGGAACCACCAAGAAGACAACATAGTATTGCATGGCACCGCCGCCAAGACAACATGCATTGCAGGCTTAGAAAAGCTCTTTCAAAATTGATTAATTGCTCAAGCCTCAACTGTTTGCACAATGATGGCCATTCATGTTCCTCAAGTTAGGAAAACATTTGATTACCAACATTCATATAATAATCATCGCCTCCTTAGTGGTGAGCCTCTAGCCACAGCTTTCATACTCTGTGAGTCTCTAAAGCAAACAAAGTGCACCAGTGTTTTCCCATTGGGATAGACCGCAAAAACACTTGTTCCTAGTTTCTTGCGGCAAAGGGAGCACATACTGTCACTGGTTATCTTCACCACTGTTTTTCTCTGGTTGTAGAGTTCATCTTTCACCTGTTTCACACAATCATTCTTTCAGAGAACCAAAGGAGATCAAACATAAAAAGAGAAGATCAAGCAAGAACAGCATGGAAGTATTCCATTGCTACGAATAGGGAGAAAATAAACTAAATGCATCGATATTAAAATAAGAAGTTTAAAGCCAAAAACATAGCCGAGTTATTTAAGATACAGCCATAAGAACTTGGGTAATAATCTTGATGTTAAATAGATGATCTAATATCCCACTCAAATAAAGTCTTGCAACAAAGATATTGGGAAGAGGGTACAACATAAGTTTATAAATGACATAACAACAGACCAGGCATACAACATTAGAATGCACACACACTTCTGTATAAGTGTTGCAATTGAGAATCTACAATAAGCCTTCTCAAAAAGTTTAAACTAACTGCAAGCATTCATACGAGTGGAGACCATATAGCAGAAGCTATACCCCAAAAATCAGATTGACCATATGATAGAAGGTGCCAACTACAAATGCAACTCCAGCATCTTTTTGCATGTGTGTATCCTATAACCAACAGCAAATTTTATTCTCACTATTGGTCATGTGCTTCACAGGGTAAAGTTAAAGATGGAATTTCTACAACTAAATTCCCAGTTAAACTTACGCAAAATATATGCTTACCTGCAGGTTCTCACTTTGCCTCAGACTCTTGATCACTGAAAAATTTCTGTAGGCTTCACTGGATTTTCTCAAAAGAGGTCCAAGAAATGGAAGCAGATTCTGCAAATGAACATGAAAAGACTTTCCTTCATAAAGCAGTTTAGGAATGAAACACTAATGCCTATAGTTATATAATGATGAATGAACTTGGGTGTTAGTGAATCATTTTAATCATTTGCAAAGAACATAAGATACTTTCTCACAATCTGCAACCTTAACATTCCGTGGTTAAAAATATGTATAAACTTTGTCCACATAACAAAACAATGTAAGAAACATAAAAGCATAGTTTCAGTAAAGAATCAATACAAACAGCAGACACATACATATGGAAATTAAAAGTTTTGTATGTTCTCTATCAATTAATCAATACCTGTAGTTTAGTTTCTTTAGGTAAGAGCTTGAGGGCCTGAGCACCGTTGATTCTATCCCACCTTTGGCTCAAAAGATCAAGGACCTCATCAAGCATCATAGTAGAACCTCCCTCCTCACTAAATTCTTCACCGTCAGCATCAGCATCAGCATCAGCATCACTCCTACCACTGTCAGTGCTGCTGGGACTGAATCGCCTATGTTCTGCACCCTCTATTGCAGCTATTTTCTTGGTTGCACGTCCTCCTTTAGTCTTAAACGATGTTCCTGACCCGACTTTTGGCATGCTTGTATTTTGAGATGATAACATATTTATAATTCGCTTTTCAAAGTTCTTGGTTGTCCTACTTGGATTTAGATATATTTGCATAAGAGTGAGATATATATTGCCAGAAGATTTTGCCGATGGCTGATGAACTAAAGACTCATATACCCGATCACAATAAGCTAGTGCCAGTTCAGGTACATGAAGCTGAAAAACTTAAGAGAACTTCAATTAGAAATAGTATTCATAATACAAAGAATAGGTTCAAGAAAAACTAGAATTGAAAGAAATATTCTGATAAATAAATTTAAAAACAGTTCAACACATTAAGTTGAATAAGATATAAAACCTTGTTTTCAATGGAAACAAATATTTTACATGTGCATAGCCTACTATCATTGTTGACCCAAAAATGGAGAAAAGTTGCATTATGGTGGCAAAGGGTACCCTTCAATTTATATGCAAAAGACTTTAGTTTCATCCATGAAAATGATTTATTTGATATTACGGATGAATGGTTACGAAGGAACCGTTTCGTTTTTGTAGGTTGGTCCGGCCTATTGCTCTTTCCTCGTGCCTATTTCACTTTAGGGGGCTGGTTCACAGGCACAACCTTTTGTAACTTCATGTATACTCATGGATTGGCTAGTTCCTATTTGGAAGACTGCAACTTTTAACAGCCACAGGTTCGACTCCTGCTAATAGTTTAGCAAATTCTTTATTGTTACTATGGGGGCCTAAAGCACAAAGAGATTTTACTTCTTGGCGTCAATTAGGCGGTTTTTGGACTTTTGTTGCTCTACATGGTGTTTTTGAACTAATAGGTTCATGTTACGTCAATATAAATTTGCCCGGTTTGTTCAATTGCGGCCTTATAATGCAATAGCATTTTCTGGTCCAATTGCTGTTTTTGTTTCTGTATTCCTGTTCCTTTGGAAGTGATTTTAATTCATTAAATAGGTTAGCTTTATATCAGGAAATACCTTATGAACATATAGAGACAAGGCAAGCTCATGTTGGTTCATTTTGCCCAACAAAAGCGCACGTTCTTCGTATAAAGCATCTGGAGGAAGCCGCTTCAGCAAAGCCTCAGGACCATATCCTGAGATACTCTCAAGAGCAGACAACAATTTCTTCCTTGTCGGTGAATAAACCTTTTCATCCCACTTCTGTTGAGCAACAAGGTCTGCATACCAATCGAGTACTTCTGAAAGATAGATTTGTATCTACAGTACAAAAAATTAAAAGTGAAAATTGGATAATATTACAAAATAAATCATATAATCAGCACAACCCAACAGCTATGTTCACTGCCAAATTCAGGAGCTCGCATACAAAAACTAATGTTCTTGTAGAGGTTCAAAATCAAGAATTCTCACCATTTCATTTTGTAGGTTCCCAGAGATTCCATTTTCATTCATTGCAAGCATAAGTTCCAAGTATCTACCCTGCATGCTAGGAGCGTGCTGCTTCAAATAAGAGTTGACCAAGTCCGCAGGAATATTCCCAGATAAAAATAGATCAATGGTTTGGGTCGGACAACTTTCAAGAACAAGCATTGAGTACTCAAGGACAAGCATGGGGTCAGTCTCACAGAGTGGCTGCAGAAGAAAAACCATCAAACCTAATTAGTTATTCAACATATACTGGCTCTAGTCTACTCATTTTCCAAATCTTGAGTTTCAAAACAAAAGTTCACCCATTAAGTTGGCTGCAAACAAATTAAACACCATATGTCATAGTCAAGATGCATCTCAACTATTCTCTTTCAACACGAGTATAAAACCTCAGATAGCTTCACCCTTTATTTCAATGGTTAAATTTAAGGAACACAAAAGCAGTAGTGACTGCAGACAGAAACAATAGCTTTAAATTACCATGATACATGGAAGAAATATTGTCACAACCTAAATGCTCTAGAGCAAATTCTAGTTGATGCATGGAGAAATTAAACACCATATGATCCACAAAACTATGATTACTATGATACATGGAAGAAATTATTGTCACAACCTAAACTGCTCTAGAGCAAACTCTAGTCTCATAGAGTGGCTGCAGAAGAAAATTCACCAAACCTAATTAGCTATTTAACATATACCAGCTCTAGTCTAGTAATATTCTAAATCTTGACTTCAAAGCAAAAGTTCACACATTACATTGGCTACCAACTAATTAAACAACATATGTTCTGGTCAAGATACATCTGAAATACTCAATTATCATGAGTATGAAACCTCGGATAGCTTCACCATTTATTATGATAGTTAAATTTAAAGAACACAAAAGCAGTAGTGGATGCAGATGGATACAACCTTTAAATCATAGCTATGATAAAAGGAAGAAAATATTGTAGGAAATTCTAGTTGATGTGCTAGAATGCTGAATAATAGATCTATCTAATTAAGCTTGTTTTACAAAATTAAAATTACCTTCAGATATTCAATAATTGACTCAGGGTTGAACTTGTGAGTAAGCTCAAGTTGTGATTGGTTGGATTTTGACTCTTCAACTAACTGGTGCAGAAGTTTAAGAGCTTCACGGTGCATTGAATTAGACTTGTAAAGTTCAAGCAGAGCAGCACAGTGATTCATTTTTAGAAGATTCTCCTCACATATTTTTACATCACAATAGTTAACACCTTTTAGTAATTCTAAAGGCGCTGAAGACTGTCCAGTAAGAAGCAGAGCTTGGAGTAGGGCTGTATCCAGTATTGCCGCCATCTCCCTGGCACCCGAGTTAATAGGAATGGTACCACGCCCCTAACAGTCAAAAAAGATAATATTACATTAAAACTCAAAATTTTGGTTTAAGCTAGTGGCATGTTAAATGTAAAAAGATATGCAAAGGGTAACTTATCACAATGTTGTTTCTGAGTTTTACCTATGCAAAAAAGTAAATATCCAGCACAATTACATGTTATTTATGTGCTCATAAGGGTGCCGTTCTTAGTTTTTACCCCTAATGAATGCCTGCTTCAAAAAATGTATCTAGTTTATTTAAAATGTTAAAGCAACAAGCTCAGCCTTGACTTCTCTCTTACAACTAAGCCATATAAACCAATTTAACAAAGGCAAAAACAGGCATGATAAAAATTCATCATTTGAAGGAGAACAAAAAAGTTTATGTTCAATGTGCAACACAGCCTTTATCATCATGACAATCAAAAGTTATACATTAGGTTTTGCAAAGTAAATGGAAACCGCTGTAACAAAACACAATCACATGAAATATACACCAAATAGAAAGAAGAAATTTGAAAACTCACCTTGTTTGATTTCTTAAACCTGGTTGACTCATAAGATGCAAAGTTATCTCCAACAGCATCTAAAACCACCTCTTCAGTTCCCTCAGCAGTGGCCTTTTCAATTACACTGCCTCTCTTTTTTTGCAGGAACTTAATGAGAGCCATGAGAGTGTTATGGCTCATTTTCTTGGATTCAAGTGCTGCACTCTCGTCAAGTTCTAATAGCTGTTGTGGAGATGAGGATTCCATATCATCTGACACTCCAGATGAAGCCCTTGAGAGATCTGAAGCATCCCAAGTACTGTCCAACATCTTCTCTGGTTCAGGAACCATGGTTGTTTTGGGAAGAACAATAGATGGATACAAAGAGAGAACATAGGTAATGTCCACTTGAGATGCCAAAAAATGCTCCATGGCCTCCTCATAGCTCCCATTGTCAAAAAGATAGTGAGCATATCTGTAATAGGCAAAACAAACTAGTTTAACTCTAACATTCAAAAATCTAAGAAGCATAATTGATTTACTGCCCACCAATTAACTATTAAGAATCCACTATTAATTGAAAACCATCCACATAAGGAATAATAATAACAAATTACATACTGGTGATGCACTAAACACACACCATAAATCGATAATGCACAATGGATCCCATGTCACAATATTTATGTAAGCGTAATACAGCAAGGCACAAGGTTATAATGTGTCACCTTATTTTTTATCCAAATAAAATTATCACTTTTCTCTAGCAGGTATAATGTCATTACTTATTGTCTAGAGCTGGTAGTGGTAACTTCAAACAATATTAAAGATTAGAACAAAAGTCTAAAGTTAAAAAGACAGTATACGAATAAACCAATCATCTGGCTAGCTCCAATTCATGAACTCAACTAAAATTGATTAGGCTTCAAACACCTCAGCCCAGTAGGGCCAATATTGTGCAATCATAATACTCAATGGGAGGATCAGGATGCTTGGAAAATATCAACCTTATGTGAATTGACCCCTCCTTTGCAGCTCGGAGGCTTGCATCTTCTGCAGGAAGCAGTTTACACAAGGCCAATGCTTCCTCAAAATCCCCAGATGCTGTTAATTGTACAATCTGCAATGCAGTTACGAGCAAAATTCTTAATACAATTCCTGAATCATTGTGTCATATTCTTTCTATGTTAGGCTACAGTGTCATGGCTAGATACATAATAAAAGGTAAGTATAAATTATGAACAACATTGTATCATGATTCATCTGTTTTACATTAGTAGTAAATCTAAAAACTTATGATGATAGGTAAAGGCCCCACAATAGAATTTAAGAACACCCTCATGTGCTCTTGCATGGTGATTGAATACAGCTCATTTTCCAAATCTTGAGTTTCAAAACAAAAGTTCACCCATTAAGTTGGCTGCAAACAAATTAAACACCATATGTCATAGTCAAGATGCATCTCAACTATTCTCTTTCAACACGAGTATAAAACCTCAGATAGCTTCACCCTTTATTTCAATGGTTAAATTTAAGGAACACAAAAGCAGTAGTGACTGCAGACAGAAACAATAGCTTTAAATTACAATGATACATGGAAGAAATATTGTCACAACCTAAATGCTCTAGAGCAAATTCTAGTTGATGCATGGAGAAATTAAACACCATATGATCCACAAAACTATGATTACTATGATACATGGAAGAAATTATTGTCACAACCTAAACTGCTCTAGAGCAAACTCTAGTCTCATAGAGTGGCTGCAGAAGAAAATTCACCAAACCTAATTAGCTATTTAACATATACCAGCTCTAGTCTAGTAATATTCTAAATCTTGACTTCAAAGCAAAAGTTCACACATTACATTGGCTACCAACTAATTAAACAACATATGTTCTGGTCAAGATACATCTGAAATACTCAATTATCATGAGTATGAAACCTCGGATAGCTTCACCATTTATTATGATAGTTAAATTTAAAGAACACAAAAGCAGTAGTGGATGCAGATGGATACAACCTTTAAATCATAGCTATGATAAAAGGAAGAAAATATTGTAGGAAATTCTAGTTGATGTGCTAGAATGCTGAATAATAGATCTATCTAATTAAGCTTGTTTTACAAAATTAAAATTACCTTCAGATATTCAATAATTGACTCAGGGTTGAACTTGTGAGTAAGCTCAAGTTGTGATTGGTTGGATTTTGACTCTTCAACTAACTGGTGCAGAAGTTTAAGAGCTTCACGGTGCATTGAATTAGACTTGTAAAGTTCAAGCAGAGCAGCACAGTGATTCATTTTTAGAAGATTCTCCTCACATATTTTTACATCACAATAGTTAACACCTTTTAGTAATTCTAAAGGCGCTGAAGACTGTCCAGTAAGAAGCAGAGCTTGGAGTAGGGCTGTATCCAGTATTGCCGCCATCTCCCTGGCACCAGAGTTAATAGGAATGGTACCACGCCCCTAACAGTCAAAAAAGATAATATTACATTAAAACTCAAAATTTTGGTTTAAGCTAGTGGCATGTTAAATGTAAAAAGATATGCAAAGGGTAACTTATCACAATGTTGTTTCTGAGTTTTACCTATGCAAAAAAGTAAATATCCAGCACAATTACATGTTATTTATGTGCTCATAAGGGTGCCGTTCTTAGTTTTTACCCCTAATGAATGCCTGCTTCAAAAAATGTATCTAGTTTATTTAAAATGTTAAAGCAACAAGCTCAGCCTTGACTTCTCTCTTACAACTAAGCCATATAAACCAATTTAACAAAGGCAAAAACAGGCATGATAAAAATTCATCATTTGAAGGAGAACAAAAAAGTTTATGTTCAATGTGCAACACAGCCTTTATCATCATGACAATCAAAAGTTATACATTAGGTTTTGCAAAGTAAATGGAAACCGCTGTAACAAAACACAATCACATGAAATATACACCAAATAGAAAGAAGAAATTTGAAAACTCACCTTGTTTGATTTCTTAAACCTGGTTGACTCATAAGATGCAAAGTTATCTCCAACAGCATCTAAAACCACCTCTTCAGTTCCCTCAGCAGTGGCCTTTTCAATTACACTGCCTCTCTTTTTTTGCAGGAACTTAATGAGAGCCATGAGAGTGTTATGGCTCATTTTCTTGGATTCAAGTGCTGCACTCTCGTCAAGTTCTAATAGCTGTTGTGGAGATGAGGATTCCATATCATCTGACACTCCAGATGAAGCCCTTGAGAGATCTGAAGCATCCCAAGTACTGTCCAACATCTTCTCTGGTTCAGGAACCATGGTTGTTTTGGGAAGAACAATAGATGGATACAAAGAGAGAACATAGGTAATGTCCACTTGAGATGCCAAAAAATGCTCCATGGCCTCCTCATAGCTCCCATTGTCAAAAAGATAGTGAGCATATCTGTAATAGGCAAAACAAACTAGTTTAACTCTAACGTTCAAAAATCTAAGAAGCATAATTGATTTACTGCCAACCAATTAACTATTAAGAATCCACTATTAATTGAAAACCATCCACATAAGGAATAATAATAACAAATTACATACTGGTGATGCACTAAACACACACCATAAATCGATAATGCACAATGGATCCCATGTCACAATATTTATGTAAGCGTAATACAGCAAGGCACAAGGTTATAATGTGTCACCTTATTTTTTATCCAAATAAAATTATCACTTTTCTCTAGCAGGTATAATGTCATTACTTATTGTCTAGAGCTGGTAGTGGTAACTTCAAACAATATTAAAGATTAGAACAAAAGTCTAAAGTTAAAAAGACAGTATACGAATAAACCAATCATCTGGCTAGCTCCAATTCATGAACTCAACTAAAATTGATTAGGCTTCAAACACCTCAGCCCAGTAGGGCCAATATTGTGCAATCATAATACTCAATGGGAGGATCAGGATGCTTGGAAAATATCAACCTTATGTGAATTGACCCCTCCTTCGCAGCTCGGAGGCTTGCATCTTCTGCAGGAAGCAGTTTACACAAGGCCAATGCTTCCTCAAAATCCCCAGATGCTGTTAATTGTACAATCTGCAATGCAGTTACGAGCAAAATTCTTAATACAATTCCTGAATCATTGTGTCATATTCTTTCTATGTTAGGCTACAGTGTCATGGCTAAATACATAATAAAAGGTAAGTATAAATTATGAACAACATTGTATCATGATTCATCTGTTTTACATTAGTAGTAAATCTAAAAACTTATGATGATAGGTAAAGGCCCCACAATAGAATTTAAGAACACCCTCATGTGCTCTTGCATGGTGATTGAATACAGTACAATCATAAAAATAAGTACAATTTATTATAATGTAATTAATATTATATGGATTTGAATTCAAGATCACTAGGTCAACTTGATTATTATATAATGTTAAGTTATCACTTGATCTAAAAAAGTAAGGGCCTAAACAGAAATATTTATGCTTTAACAATCTGAAATCTTAAGATCGGTCGAACAGATGTCTTATTTATTCATCCACTAGACCAGAAGGTAATACACCCACAGGTCATTTAGATACCGTTAGCATTATTAAAAAAAAAAAGAGAAAGATTTTAAATACCTGTGCACCAAGAGGAACAGGAAAGAGCCCAAAAACAGAGTTTTCTGATGCAACAATAACAGCATTGCTGCTTGGGATAAGATGCCGAACATTTTGGAGAACAACTGTCTGTATCATTGGATATGGAACTCGAAGAGATCGAATCTGAGAAAAAAGAGTGAAAAATGCAAAAGTTCACAACTTTCAACATGAGCGCAAAAGTAACCAGGAAAAGATTCAAGTTTGCTATATACTTAGGTTACCTCAACACGTCTAGGCAACAGAGCTATTGCATATGGCTTCTGAATGATAACAGTAGTGGGTGCCTCAGACCAGCAAATCCTGTCAGCTTGAAGAAGCTTACCATTTTGGTCCACAAAGACCCCAATATTCTCCTAAAAGCATAAAGAAAGCACATACATCTTATATCTATCAAGCAAAGAAATAGAAATATTATAACAGCAGATAATAGATTTCATTTAGTTCCTACCTTTTAAATTACTAGTGTTTGAAATCCCCAAGACAGAACTCTATTCATGGACACATACATACATACATACATACATAAACAGTGTCTACAACAACAAGTTCATTCTGCTAATTTCAAACATCGTTAGTTCTTGACATATCATTGAAGTGCATTTTAACACAAAAGAACATAAAATCAGAAAGCAAGAGTGGCTAGGTTCAGCTCAAAACTAGACTAAATGTCATGGACACAGCAGTGATGATCTAAAAAGGTTCTTTACATGCCAAATTCAATCTCTCAATATAACAACTATGGAAATAAATTCATATGGCAGAACCGAAACAAAATGCTCAGCAAAGCAAAGTACCTTCCCAAGAAGAAGTTCGCCAGAAGGAAGCGAGATAACTAATGGCTGTGCAAGTCTGCCCGAAGGAAAGACCTCAGAGAATACACCATTTGTCGAATTCAGTATCATGTATTCTTTTCTGATTGCTATACATATATTTTCACCACACCAAGACATTGACTTCACAGTATCCGGCACTCCAAAATCTTTTACCTCAACGAATCCACGTCCCCCTAAACCAACACATTCAAAGTAACTAGTGAATGCATTTTCAGAACCCTAGACCTGTAGGAGCATAGCATATGCCCAACCTCTACGGGCCTTTTCTCTCTCACACAAATTAATAAGCATTCTTTAGAAGCACACGAAACTAATACCACATTATGCTCCAAATAATTACAGATTGTGATTTCAACAGATTTTAAACTTCATGTAACAAAATATCTCAGCAACTTATCAAAACTAATAATGAATAGAAGTAATTACCATCGTGTCTGAAAATACAGACCCTCTTTTGTCTGGCGAAACACAAAAAGCCTCTTCGATCATCCCAGGAATATACATTAGCACCTTTAGCTTTCGTTAACACAGCAATTGTCTCCAAATTGGGGAGTCTATGAAACGCGATTGACTCCGAGAGCGATAAGAGAAGCTCTCTAGAAGCTAATACCTCCATCGATAAAATAGGCTTTTTGGAGAAGCCAACAACTGTTCTCTCCAATTCGTACTGTTCCCTGCGAGGGGCATGGTGATCAGACGGTGGAGATCGGTCGGAGTCGGAGGATTCCGGGCCGTAAATTTTGAGGGATCCATCGGAACAGCCGAGAAGGAGCTTTGAGCCGTACGATGCGATGGCATCGATTTTCGGAGAGCAATTGGTGAGGAGCTGGAAAGAATCGTATGCACTGTGTACCATTATTGTTTCTATCCTATCTCAATCTTCTTTCATCTCTGGCTTTTTTTATATTCGTAGCGAATGTTTTGGGTCTACACAGATAAATTTAATTTAGGCGGGTAATAAGAGAAACGACGTCGCTTGACCGGTGTCCTAGTCCTATCGTGCTTTAACGGGCTGACATGCTGCCAAGGTATTTGATTACAGAAATTGTTAAATTTTGGGTTCGGAGGTAATCACCACTAAATTTTGGGTTCAGAAGATTTTCAGAATAACACTTTCCCCACTGGACGATTGTACTCTCCTATCTTTATTACACTATAAATATAAATATAATATTTTTATTATTAAAAAATAAAATAAAATAAATTTACGAATCTATAAAATTTCCATGCACAACCCTGGCTGGAAGTGAAGTGAAGGATACAATTGAAAAGATAGAAAGAAAATGCTGAAGGTTGAATCAAGAGTTTTATGATTTTATGTGTGAATTATTTGAAGTTGAATGATTCAAAATTAAGAAAACCGTTCGTAAATTCTCCATCGTATAATCTTCTTGCCCAAAACAATATTGTGAGATTTAAATTGGTTTTTGAAATTATTTTTAACAACTTTTAAGTAGGGGTGAACGTACCAATTGTTAGGAACCAGAACTAGAACCAATCAGTTCCTAGTTAAAGGAATCAGAACTGAACCGATCGGTTTGGTTCTTTAGTTCCTTTCCTAGGTACCTTATAAAATTTATTACCCCCTATTAATTTAAAAAATAACAAATACACCTCTAATAGTTCACAAAATTCACACATACACCCCTGGTTCCTAAACCGGTTCCAAGCAGGGTACTCGAATGTAGGTTCCAGTTCTACCCCGGGAATTCCCAATTCCAATTTTGCATGATTGGAACCTACCCTATGAGGGCCGGTTTCGGTTCCGAGTCTACCCTTTATCCATGCTCACCCCCACTTTTAAGTAACACATTTTTGATCCCTTAATTAAACTAATAAAACAGTCCCTAAAGATGAAGTTTCAAAATGCAATATTGAAAGAACCCTGTAAAACACAAGTGAGGTCCTGCAAAAGCAAAACAGAACAGCAACTAAATACTATCTGTCAAATCATTTACAACCATTATCGAATTCAAATAACTCAAGATTTTATTAATTACGTTAACCCCTACTTTTAAGTAACACATTTTTTATCCCTTAATTAAACTAATAAAACAGTCCCTAAAGATGAACTTTCAAACTGCAATATTAAAGGAACCCTGCAAAACACAAGTGAGGTCCTGCAAAAGCAAAACAGAACAGCAACTAAATACTATCTGTCAAATCATTTACAACCATTATCGAATTCAAATAACTCAAGATTTATTAAGTACGTAACGAGATTGCTTCTTAACATCCTGCAGAACAACATGAGCAGCATTACGACCAGGTGCACCCATCACACCTCCTCCAGGATGTGATCCACTACCACACATGTACAGCCCTTCTACTGGAGTCCTATAACCTGACCTTTAATTGGAAGAAAAGAAAAATAAGTTTCTCCTATGACATGTTTATAACTCAGATTTTGAAAAATGTTCATGGATCATCCTAAATGTTTGAGAATTACCATCCTTTTACAGGTCGCATCAAAAAAAGTGAATCCAAACCCATAGCACCATGAAAAATGTTTCCCCCTGTCACATGTATACAAGATTTAATTATTTCCAATACAGGTTTTTTTTTTTTTTTTCTTTTATCTGTATATGTACAAGGAGGATGTCTAGCTAAAAGAATTATGGATATTCATGAAATTGATTATCAATTGACATTACACGAGTCTATAGCTGAGAAGCGATAATACCTGTCAGACCAAATTCCCTTTCGAGATCTATCGGTGTCAACATGTCATACCCAATTACTGATGAGCTAAAGCCAGGGGCATGTTCATCAATCAAGCTAAAACATTTTTGTGCATATGACTCCTACAGAGACAGTGATCATTAGTTCGCAACAGCTATGTATTCTGCTAAACAGTCAGTATAAAACTTACTCTGTACACAGGATCTTCCCAGCTACCATCTGAAGGTTTATATGGTGTATATTGTGTGAATAAGCTAACCACATGTTTACCTACAAGAAAATACACAAAGCATCATTCTACTAGTAAAGTGCAAACTTCTAAATACAGGATAGCATGGTGTAATTTCAATGAATAATGGCAGGGTAGATTGCAAGGAGATAAAGTTGAAGATCAAAATCGAAGATTATACTTAGATATACCAAGTAGTTATGACAAGATTATACTTAGATACCAGGGGGAGAAATAGTTTTGTCCAATGAAGAAGGAATTGTCATCTCCATAACAGGTCTTCGAGATGGTAAACCATTCCAAGCATCTTGACAAGCTGAGCCAATCTCATCCATACTTGAAAAATGAAAGAATAAATCAATCAATTATTGAGTTATATTTCCGAGACTCGTGCTTGGGAAACTAGGAGATTGAACTTCTAGTTATCAAATTTATCTTTGTCTATAGTTTCTGAGCTGATGAATACATAACCTATATAGCTTCTTTTGGTCCTTTTCGGATTTCTAGACAATTTATCCTTGTTTTTGAGGACAACTTGTTCACCTCTTATAATCTCTTTAAAATTTCAACAGTATTTTGGCCCAGTCACATCACAAACTAGTACCAATATAGCAGCAAGTTCAGTCAATTGACCAATGCAATTAAATTAAAAAATCTCGGCAAAATACGTTTAAGCATACCTTTCGGCACCAATGTGAATAGTTGCTGTATGCTGAGGACCAACCTCGAGCTGACTTGACTTGCAACAATGGAAGTGGGGCAATTTATCAACGGCGACATTGATTTTGGTAACTCCCTGTTTTCGTTGATGAAAACCAAATACTAGTCAGTATATCAGTAACCTCTAAACATAAAATAGTCTAAGCTTATACACGGTGGGTGGTGGTGCAGAGAGCATTGTTTCTAATATGTTTAATTTGGATTATTGTAATAGAACTAAAAGTTATAAAAGGATATGCATGCAGCACCAAAGGCGGAAAATCCAATTGAGTTTCAACAACAGGAGCCCTTCACAGATTCCTTAATTTTCTTTAGACAATGATACAGAAATAAACAGAAAACAGAGACTGAAGAATAAAAGGGACATGAAGTTCAACATTCTCCCAGGCATAAAAATATAAGTTTTCAATACAGTGATCTCACAGATTTGTAGTCTGAGTACTTGATAGCACGGAGAAAATCGTCAGGAAGAACATCTTGAGGCACCAATCCCTGAGCCAGAAAAACATAAGCCTAAACAGAGAGGAATATCCAATAGTAAAAATTGCAAAAGCAAACATGAATCTGTCTTTTGCCTTTCACCAATGTGTGCAACCTTTTGTACAACAAAGAAGCAATTTTAACCTTCTTACGATGAAAGTCTTACAAGGGGTTGCATTCGACAAAACAATTGAAGAATGCACTTGTGTCCCATCAATCAGTAATACCTAGATTATGAATAAGGTATAGTTATCCAGTAATTCCATAAAAAAACTTTAGAACTCTCAGTTGAGGCAATAGGTGAAAAAGCCTAACCCCATTAACTTTTCCAGAGTCTCCAATCATTATCTGTGAAACCTGTACATAAAGATAGAAGTTTGGAAACTCACGAATCTTAACTCCATAGAAACCAGAGAAAATGACTCCTTATGATAGATAATGTGTCAAAGAAGAAAGACAATAATAAATGAACTACGTTACTAAATACAAGAGAGTTAATCATCAAAATGTTAAACTCGAAAACAAAACAGCATAATCGTTCAACATTTACATCTTTGCTCCACCAACAAGAATATAAATTATACTGCTTCATTTATTGATTCAAAGAATTGGTGATGTGCAATGCTTATGTTGTAAAGTCATGCATTACAACTTATTGACACAACATGAAGAATAACAGTCACCATACTAAACGCACCTCCTCGTTTGTGAGAATATGCACCCCAGCTTCCCTGGCAGCTTTACTTATGGCCAAGGATATCGAACCCATCCCACCTTCAACATGCCTACAATGAATATAGTCTAGTTTAGAAAATACATTCAACAGACCATAACATACAAACTAATTAACCTTTCAACAATGTTCTTGTTGAATTTAAATGAACATCAAGTTATCAACCAAGAAGTATTTTTTATAATCTAATAAACTATGTCAGTGGTAGTATGTCAATAATTTAGCCTCAAACAAGAATGATACAAATTGTGTACGCATTCAAGGAAAGAAAAATATCTACTCAATCCTACTCTATAGGTAGAAAGAAATAAAGGTCTCAAGTCTCAACCAAACTAAGAAATGCATGATAAGTTCTTAGAATTCTGATTGGATCCAAAAAGAAAAAAGAATCAGTTTATTCATTCAACTAAACCTGTTAAAAGCTTTTGCAAAACTATTGAACTATAATAATGCACTCATTCATAAATGACTTTGAAGTCATCAATTTCAAGGACTTTGCTTTAGATTTACCAGTGATGAATGTCCTTTTTATGTGACCCCTCTGATGTGTACTGAACACTAGGTGTGTCATTAGTAGCATGTGTTGTGGATCAAGTGCGAGTTTTCCATGCGCTAATACCATACGAGAAGCCCAACTCAACCATACTACCAGCAGATTTCTTAAACCTTCAATGATGTTAACCCATGCTTTAATGAAATAAATACTAAATTACTAGAACCTAAGAGTTCAGTTATAAATTTTCCAACATTCTCTGTACCCTATCTCAAAAGAGAGAGAAGAAGAAAAAAGAACGTAGATCATGAATTAAAAGAATTGAACCATCATAAAATTCCAGATGCACTAAGGCTGGGATGGTTAAGTAGATTTAACTTTGACCTTGAAAATTTGCAGCTTTCTATTTTGTATTGTAGAATTGCCAAATCATTTACATTAACTTAACAAATGAAATACTTACGACCAAACATTACGATCACCATCAGTTTCACCCATCACATGATGTAGCAGAACATATCCACTCCCGGGTGCATGGATACTGGCCTATAAGAAATTTAGAATGATTTTAAATCCCCCCATCAAATCCCAGGGCCTAAGCTGTAAGAAAGATTTTAAACTAACATCTAGTATTAGTCAGTTTAAAAATGGAACAGCCACATCCTTAAAGTCATCATGATAAACTTTAAAAAAAAAAAAAAAAAAAAATTGAAGGATACATTAGAGGGGAATTCAAAGCATGAATCATCCTCAAACCTAAACGCTCAACAGAACTTCAACAAATAAAAGTACCAGCAAGTGGAACAGGTTTCAAAGTTGTAATTGTATCATCACATTAAACTGTTATCCAATCTAACATCAAACACAAAAAGTATAAAAGTCATACCATACTCCCAACAATAGCATCTCCTGCAATTGCTGCCTTCAGTAAATCTGACTGTATATAGAAAATTAGGAAAAACGCCACATTACAATAGATTGATCATTAACTGACTAAACGTAATTAACATGCTGGTAACATTCATACAAAAAATCATAACTAAATTGAACTTCAAGTAAGAAGTTTCATGATCAAAACACTGCCCTCATCGTTGCGATGCAAAACTTAAAGTTTACATCTTCATATGACCATTTCTTCGAAACCTCCACAGTCAGAAAGTTAACACTAGATACCATAGTTTTGTAGACTTTCATGCAACTTAGGATCCCTAAATAACATTTAGATAAAAAGGTTTTAGCCGACTAAATAGAAGAACATGCGTGATTTCAAATCCATTCAAGTAATGCTGTGAGTACCTCAAACCACTTATTCAAAACCTTGGATGTTGGGGATAATAAGAGGTCCACAAATTCCCTGTCAGAATATTATATAAACCACATTAACAAAGGGGAGACAAAAATAAGTACTTTTTAGCATATATATTACATATAGCAACAACAATTGAAATAGTCTTAGCTAAGTCTATATGTATGTGAATCCATACGTTTATGAACTGAACATCAATGGTGGATGGAATTAACAGGAAAATAATACTTACACCATATCCTTTTGCCCCAATTGCAAGACATGACGCAGGCAACGAGTCCAGAAAACAGATTTTTCCAACTTATCCCTCAAACGATCATTCAAATTCAAAGATGAATCCCCAGGCCCACACAAAGTTTCGGGTGTAGGAGAATCCACAAGAAAATTCATGAATTTGCAGAATTTATTTAGCTGACTTTCATATCTGTTGACCAACAAAAAGTAAAATTGAATCGAAACATGATAACTTTCTTGATAGATATATATTCAACAGATAATAGTCTAAAAGCAGAGCATTTTTTCTTTTTTTTTTTTTCTAAATGACAAATTTATCAAAAGGCTATACAGTAGCACCTTGGATAAGCATCCGCATCACGTTTTGAGAATTTGGAAATCTCAGAGTAATTGTGCTCCTCGTCAAATCCTAAAAGAAGGTAACGCCCATCAAGACACGGTGAAAACGAGGAAGCGGTTGGCTTTAACAACTTCAAGCCATGTCTCTTCAACTCTAACTCCCTTCAAATTCAAAAACTTTATAGCATTGTATATACTTGATAATATGCATACTGAGCAGATGATAATAGTGAGATGAATGCATGCATGCATGTGTATAAATTTGCACCTGATGACGGAGGGACGGAGAAGGCTTTGGAGGTAGCTGCAGCGTGAGAATTTGAAGCCTGGGATGAGTTCTTCAGTAACGGCAGCTCCACCGATGATGTAGCGTCGCTCCAGCACGGCGACTGAAAGGCCTCCACGCGCCAAATAAGCTGCAGCTGTCAATCCATTGTGGCCTCCACCGATAACCACCACGTCCCACTTCTTCTCCTTCAGCGACCGCCTAATGCTTCCGCTGCCAAAACACTTTTTCCACATTCCAACTCAGTTCGTTGCCTTGAGTTCAGTTGAGATGAGACTGATCAAAGTCTTCATCAAACTGATGCATACCCACTTCGAGTTCTTACGTGGAAACAGCCAGTTAAGTAATTGTAGTGGGACCCACTTTTAGTCTATAATATTTTAAAACTGTTGAGTTTGAAATTGGACTATCAACGGTCCCATGGTCTAGTGGTCAGGACATTGGACTCTGAATCCAGTAACCCGAGTTCAAATCTCGGTGGGACCTTTTTTATTTAAAAGATTGGTTAAGCCAATAACTTTTCATTTTTTTTTTCTGTCAACTTTCAAAACTGACGATGGTGCTCCTGAGTCGAGTGCTGATGAAAGCTGCAAAAATATTGCAGCGAGTTTTATATTTTTGGTTTTGCACGTGATACATGATCCATTAAGAATAATTTTCAACAAATATCCACTGCATTACTAGCGGAAAGATTGTCGTGCCTCTATATATATATAAATTTTTTTATATTCATAATAATATAATCAATTAAATTTATTATTATAGAAAGATTATAACTTAATAATGGTATAATTACAAGAATTATTGTTTTAATTTTTAATTTTATAATTTATGTTTTAGTAGTATTAAAATTTCAATTCATTATTTTAGTAAAATTAGAATAATATGGAATTAGATATCATAGAGTCATTGTAAAATTGAGTGATCAAATTCAACAATTTCATTACATTAATCAAATAAATATTAATGTATTCATTAATAATCTAAATAAGCAACAAGTCATGTATATCTAAAAGATGATAGTACATAAATACCAAAAGTTTTATGTTAAGAAGTTCTAAATAAGTTTAAGAGCTATAAATATTCTGGCTTCAACAAGAAGTGTGTATGCTGGCCACTTATTATATATCCGCAAGATAAAAGATGTGGTAACAACTCTAAAGCATAAATCATTGTCCTAAACAACTTTAGATAAATATTTTATTTCATCTTAAACTTTTAATGTAACATATCGTATATTTTTTTGTATTATACATATAATTATTATTATGTAAATGCAAGTTTCTTAAAACGGGACTTAGAAAAATTATAACTTATGATAATATGCAATTTATTATTATTAACCCCAAAAGGTTGGTCTGATGGTCAAAGAAGTCTGCTCCCTTCATTGACTTTATGGGTTCAAACTTTAAGGCCACCTATCTCAACACATAATTTATTAGATTTATAAGGTATTCAATGGATCCCGAGATTAGTTGAAGTGCGCGTAAGCTGACTTAGACACTTCGGTTACCAAAAAATTTTATTATTATTATTTATAACTAGTCAAAGTTTGGACCAAAATTTTTTATGACTACATGAAAATAAGAATCTAACGGTGATTAAATATAATCTTGATAATTGTGACGGTTAATTATGGAACTATTAATCCTATTTTGTTGCAAAAGATAATAGCATGATACCCAAGTGAGTAGTGAGACAAATTTGATCGTGTAACGAGCGTGAATAACTAAGATTGTGTTTGGTTCAGTATTTCAATGTTTTTTATAACAATGTTTTGGAAAAAGTAAAATTGAGTTAAATTGGTTCATCTTTATGAGAAAAGTAATTATAAATACTATTAGTTAAATAAAGTATAAATAAATAATTTTGATGTTTTTAAGATAAGATAAAGAAATAAGATAGGATAAAAATAATTGAATCAATGGGCTTAAAAAGTCTAAAATCAACGAACATTATCAACAAGAGGCATTACATATTTACATAGACAGCGTTTTCTAGGCAAAATTTGAAAGGAAGATCTTAGACGTCAAATTCAGGATACTGTTGATGAAGCTGAGGAAAGTCCGTCACTCTTCACTTAAAATATTGTAGACATGATGATCGAAATCAAGTTAAGATTTAGGCGTGATTCCCCATGACAAGATAAGGAAATATTTTCAGTTTATTCAACAACTCTATCTTGTAACTTTATAAATTCATCTTATCCCGTAATTTCGGGTAATAACCTTTTTATTTTTATTTACTAATTTTTTTTATTTTTAAAAGCAAAGTATTTAAGTATATCTTAATTAATCTTCGACATCCATTGAATACTCTATAAACTTAATATTTCGAGTAACCATAAATATGAAAGTGATTTGAATTCAGAAAATAAATGAAAATAATAAATCTTCTTCACCGTTAGATTAATCAGCCAATAACGTTGAGTTCTTTCATTTTGGTTCCATCCTTAAAACGCTCTACAACAGTGATTTGACCCAAAATTAGTAATCACCTTTCTGGATTAATAACAAGTTGATGTATTTAATTTAACAGACTTCTTGTATTCTAATTTCTAAATATAAACAATCGATCATCAAGTTGAAATTCGGTCGCGTTTCTTTGATCCTTCATAATTAGATGAGGATAGAATCTACCAGCTTTTGAATTTTCAAATTACCTTTCTTATCTTGTAACCACTAATTGAAAGCCCACTTGCGGTATTTTGAACTGTTGTTTGAATTACCACCACTCCGCAAAATTTCCCTACTGTTTTCTTCGGCATTTCCAGTGTTCTATCTACCCCTTTCGTTTTCAAGATTATTCTCACATGTTTCTTTACTTTTGATTGTTCAAAAAGACATTATTGGGATTCGGGAACCCGAAAACCATATTTTGTTCACATTTTTTTGTTTTACATGTCAACTGTAGGCGACCACCTATAGGCTATAATGGAGGAGAAAGACAGAGCAGTTCAAAATGAAGATTTTATATTATTATTCAGAGCATGCTAGTAGTGGGTTTCATTTCTTTCGATAAAGTTAAAACAAATAAAAATTTCTACTAACATAACAAAACCCCACATGCATATGAGTACTTTATAAGAACATCGTACTTGCACAAGATAATTTATTTAGACTTGAAAAAGAAGCAACAGATTTATACTGAAAGAAAGAAAAACATTGAAATGGTGATCCTTAATTTCTTGCTTATTAAATGTAGTCAAATATAATATGTAATGATGTGTGAATTTTCAGCCAGCTTGCACCACCCCATAAACCTCGTTTCTGGCCTGGACGCCGCTAGTCTACTAGCAATAGCAAAGCAATTTCTCATTTTCTTTTTCTTTTCCTTTTACTTGACTCTTGTGTCTGCAGTCTGCCATTAATATGCTTTTCTTGTTTGATAACCTTTGAACTATTCTTTTTGTGTTGTGTTCCACGTTTTAGGCTTTAACTTAATTCCCTCTTCAATTACATTTTTTTTTTTCTTTTTTTATCATCTTTGATAAAATTGATCGATGGAATCGGATCAGCGTTCTTCTTCTACTACCACTTGGACAGCCATGAAAAATAAATTGTTTGAAGATGCTCTGGCAATATACGATAAGGATACACCTGAGCGGTGGCATATTATTGCGAAGATTGTTGGTGGAACAAGCGCTGAGGAAGTGAAAAGGCAGTATGAAATCCTTGTAGATGACATCAAGAACATCGAGTCTGACAGAGTTCCTCTTCCTGATTATCAAACAAATGAAAGCAGCAGTCACGGCAACAACATTATTACTAATGGAGACCAAACAGAGCAAAGGTAACAGAAAAATCTCTCTCTTTTTTCTGTAGTATCTCCATTCCTTCATCAAATCATATTCATTCAAATCAAAAAGTAGAATACAGGATGAAGTATAAATATTAATTGAAATCCAGCAGATTAGGATGCATCGTTCGGGAAAATGGTATGATTAATTGATCATCACCATTATGCTGTCTCTAACATTGAAAATTATAGTTAATTTACACTCTCTATTGATAGTGTGAGCTTCCCTAATTGCTTATATACTTCGATTTTCCTCTGCAGGCTGAAGCATCTAAGGCTGTAATTTAGATTTTAACAAGAAGAATATATAGCATTTTACCATATGTGGATCGTTCAATTTACTTGATCATTACCTTTTAATGGTGATAAATTTTCTTCAAGAACAATATATGCACCATGCTCCATTATTCTACTCTTAATTTGTTTCTTTTTAATACCTAGACGATATTTTTTTGTGCTAAATTCGTAACCTTCCAGGAAGAATCATCAAATTTCTAACATTATAGTTCAATTTACAGATGAATTGTTTCACTCTATGTATTTTATATTCATGGTTTGATCATACTGCGATTGTTATACCAACGCAAAAACTCAAACCGGCATATGAAATTATCTAATTAAAAACCAAAAATTAGTAAAATATCAAAGCATCTGGAAACCATTGTTTTTAGCATCATTGAATAGGATTCTTTAATCCAGAAGCATTGAGCAGCTGGTTGGTGTGTTTTGCCTGCTAACCAGTATAATTTTGTTCTATTAAATTTGTGTAGTTGCAATAGATATCTGTTAAAGGTGTGTAGTTGGAGTAGATATTGGCTAAGAACTCTGCCTTCTAAATATAGTGTTTGAAGAAATTAGAGTTGTTTTTATATATACAGGGCATAGGCATTAATAAATTCACCAACCAAATTAGTTTCTCCATAAGGCACAGATTATTCCTCTGGCAGAAAATGGTCAAAATTAGCACATATGGGTTGAGGATGGGCTTGATTCAGTTTTGGTTCTCTGAAAATCCATCGTGGTAAAGATGATGGGCTTGATTCAGTTTTGGTTCTCTGGAAATCCATCTTGGTAAAGACGATGAAAATGGAAATACACAAACCAGAAATTCCCACAAAGAAAATATTACACCCACAACTTCGACATCGTAATTTGTCATTAGTTAGATTGCAAATAGATAGACGAGACCAATGCAAGTAGATGAGACCCATTTTACTAGTTGACCAATGACGAGCTGTCACGTCAGGATTGTGAGAGAAAATTTGTGAAAAGAAGTTGTAGGTGGTAGTTGGAACCAGAACCGGCAGGTATCCTGGGTTCGGTTCTGGTTCCTACCCATAACCAGTTGTTAATGGGTAGGTTTCGGTTTCAAATTTTTGGAATCGGAACTAGGAATCGAGACTAATATAAAATAAAATTAATATTAGGGAGGTTAATAAAAAATTTTGTAGAAAAAGTAATGTGAATACATTTATATTTATATTTCATAACATTTAAAGTAAGTTAGTTTGACTTTTGAGAATCTACCTTTATAAAGTAATGGAGTTTGTAATTTTGAATTTATAATTTGTAATTTTATTTTTGTTAATAAGTGTAGGTGGGGAGGTATTTGTAAGTTTTTAAGGGTTTTTTTGCCATTTTAAAAACTTTTAGGGGGTCATGTAATTTTACAGGGTACCCAGAATCAGAACTGGAACCAGAACCATTGTTACAGGTTCTGGTTCTGGGTATCTAGGAACCGGAACCGTCGGTTCAGGTTCTGGTTCCAAATTTCAAGGAACCGTCGGTTCTGGTTCCGGTTCCTTCAAAAAGTGCAGGGTACCTGGAACCAAACACCCCTAATAGGTGGAGTAGACGGTTCCGGTTCTGGTTCCAAATTTCAAGGAACCGTCGGTTCTGGTTCCGGTTCCTTCAAAAAGTGCAGGGTACCTGGAACCAAACACCCCTAATAGGTGGAGTACTACACATTCCCACAATTACTTGCTAAGACAAAAAATAATAATAATAATCAAGTAGATATTTGGTGCATACAATACAAGTACAACATAAAGTCTTGCATGATGTACATGCATGTCATCAAATACATCATCACATTATTTACATATACATGCCACAGATGATGACACCTCAATTAAAGATATAAAATCTGCAATAAATTTTTAGAAGAGTAGTATTATTGATAATGAATATATTTAATACAATTTATTTATTTTAAAATAAAAAATAAAAGAACATAATTAAAATAAATTTTCCTTTTGTTACATTAGATTTATATTATATAATTTTTAATTAATTATTGAATTGATGGATTTTTTGGTTTATTAGGGTTCTTCAATTTTTTTTGAGAATTGAATAATATAAGATAAATTTATAATATAAAATAACTTTTTACTTACATATAAAATAAGATTACCCTTTTGACCTCATTAAAATAAAAGAAAGGCGCTATTGATCAAATTGGTCAGGGCTAAAAATCATTTCCCAAATTTAAATCCAAGTATAAGAACCTATTTGGTGGAACTTATCTATTGATAAGAAAAGCTTATATAAAGTCATAAGCACTTTCAAAGTATTTTTGGTTGTTTGGTAACATTTCAAACAGGCTTGTAGAATTTAAAATAAACTATTTTATGATTGATGAGGAAAATTGATGAGAAAAACTCAAATTTGACTTTTTCTTATAAACTCTTTTTGAGCTTATTTAAAATATTGAAATTTCAAAAATATCCTTATTGTATTTTATATGTTCAACTTGATTTATTCTTGTATACTGAAACACTTTTTGATAAATTAACAATAAAAAGCACTTTTACATTTTCTTAATCAAACAATTAACAACTTTTTCAAAAAAAATTATATTTTTATAAGCTCTTTTTTAATAAGTATTTCTTTTATAAGTTTCACTCGAATAAAGCATACCAAACGGACCTTAAATCTACTTAAATTTGTCAAAAACACTTTTTTATGAGATTTGGTATAAAATAAAATAAAATAAAAAATATTGAATAAAGAAGAGGTACTTATCATAAATGATTTATGCAGAATTGAAAATTGAAAAACAAGACCGCATAGCTTAAGAAGAAACGACGTCGTTTAATGCTTGAAAACGAAACAGGACACGAAGAGGCAGCGTTTCTAGTTTCTACTATTTCGCAAAAGTGGGAGTATTCCTGTAATTTCACTTTTGAAGTGGAGGAAATAAATTGTAGGGTGCTGGACACTCACTGCTGGTTGTGGATGAGACAGACACGAAAGGGAACTGCACACTCTTTTAGCACACCTTATCTACAGCATCTCTACGGAAGCGGTAGTCAGAAAGACAGATGTGTCAAAGCGACTTGTCGTTTAAGGTGGTCTTTGATTTAAATTTAGCCACTGCATTTGCATGGGCTGCTTCCGTTTGTCAAAACAAATATTTATAAGATGAGAATAACATATGGTTTTCTAATCAATCTTTAGTTGCTGCATTTCATTAATTTTCATGACAGATAATTCTGGGTTCATCATCGATGGCGCGCAGAGAGATTCTAGCGGAGATGGGATATGAATTCAGTATCATAGTAAGTTGATAGATAATACAAACGTTTACTGTTTAATATACTAATAATGGCAAGTGAAAAGTTGACTGGGTAGGGTTCATAATATTTAGACTGCAGACATTGATGAAAGCAGTATTAGGAGAGAAAAGCCAGAAGAATTGGTAATGGCTCTAGCTGAGGCGAAGGTATCATTTCTTTACTGGCTATCTCCCTTTCACATATCTTTTGTTCTTGTAACACATGCTTGACTGGAACTGTTAAATTTCAAGTTGTTACGGTTTAGGATGCATTTCATTTACTATGTATGGAAATCTCAAATTTGTGATTGAATCTTGTAACACAGACGTTAATGAGAATGTCTTTATGTGTTTTACTCTAAATATTTTTTTAATAGGCAGATGCCATCATACAAAGGTTTCAAAATACAAGTCAATTCAAGGACGATCCTCAGGCAACATTGTTAATCACAGCAGACACAGTATGCTTTTATTCCCGCTTGTTGTTCTACTTCAAATTTTATTTACGGCAGTTGGTGATTTATGCACAAAGAGTAGGGCCTGTATGTGATGGAAGTAGGTGGTCATGTCGAACAAACTTATTAGTTCATTAATCTTCTTAGCTAATTATTGACCAATTTGCTTATTCCTGAGTCTCATTTATAAGAATCGTTAATTGAAAGAGTTCATAACTATGTTCTTGAATCTGTAATAAATAGAATTATATAGTTAAAAGATTACATACAGACCTGTATCTTAATTGTTTCTCTACACTGTCCAACCTAAGCTATATATATCTTACAGTGCCTATATACTTCCAGTTGCTGGATTGGCATATTTGTTACACGCCCCATGGATTTCACTTTGTTTATTAACTTTAATGTGGCCTATTTATACATTAAAACAAGTTAATGGTAAATCATAGGAAACAGCATTTCAAATTTGGTGATTTTCTCTTTGCTGGAAATAGGGCTTATTTGAGGTTATTTCTTACTTCTAAATCCAATGGATTTTGAGGTGGTGGTGTACAAAGGGACGATTAGAGAAAAACCTTCTGGCAAGGAAGAAGCACGCGAATTTATCAAAGGTTTACATCAATGGTTTCATAGTCACCTCTTTCCCTCACAACAAATATCTGGGTTTAGAGGTCATACATATTTTTATGTGTTTCAGGTTATTCGGGCAGTCATGCCGCAGTTGTTGGATCAGTACTTATAACCAACCTTAAGACAGGAACAAGAAAAGGGGGATGGGAACTAGCAGAGGTACTATTTCTTGCACATTTAAATTAGCCTGTGCTTTTCCTCAAGAATTTTCATTAGATGATTTTCAAGCCCATACATGACTTCGGCCTAGCTTATAAAAAATGCTATATTTGTGTTTATATGGTCACAGTAGGCAGGGTTCCGTCCAAATAAGCCATTTCACATAATCTGCATCTTATTAATTTGTTTTATAATGTGAAAGTCTTAAATTTGCTGGTGTTAATACAGGTTTATTTCCATGACATACCTGATGAAGTCATTGATAACCTGGTAAAATTTATTACATAATCCTTTTAAGATTAATTTTCATCTGCCATTCCTTTTATTTAATGTTACCTATTCTATTTTTGGTGGTGAGGTGTGGTCAGATAGATGAAGAAATTACTCTGAATGTTGCTGGAGGTCTTATGCTGGAAAATCCATTGACATTGCCCTTCGTTGAAGCAGTGGTCTGTCTTCCCCCTCCCTCTGCTTGTGTGGTGTGTGGATGAATGTTTTAGTCAATGATGAATGAATCTTTATATGGTTGATTCACTCATAAATCCAGGCTATATTGCCCTTCAGACTTCTGCCACCTGAGCCAAACTTAGGATTCCAAATCAATCCAGTGGACAATTTATAATCTTCTTCTTTTGATCATATCATAAGTTCCCATATGGTCGTTTATATGAGTCACCAATCAGATGAACTTTGTTTTACCTAATATCTATTTTACATATAACATATTGGCTTTGGTCTGTTCCGAGGGGGAATGGGATACCCCAAATGCTAGAATTTGAGAATTGTGCTTTGTTTCTTCTAATATTTGCATGCATAATTTTGTTTTGGGCAGGTAGGGGGAACTGATACCGTGATGGGACTTTCTAAATTTCTAACAGAAAAGCTCATCCGAGAAGCACTACTATAGCAGTGGTTTTGAACCATCAACTATTCAATTCCATTTTTTAGCGTTGTAGAGTGGTGGGATTCAACCCATTCTGATACACTATTGTCTGCGATTCATTCATTTTGCCTTTTGATTTGATTTTTCTCATCACAATCGAACAATAAAACAATGATTTATTTCTAATGTACACAACCATGCATAAAATTAATGTATTATGTATTGAATATGTAGTGTTATTTATAGAGTAAAATTAGAAGCTTATGTTGAAACCTTATTCTTAATTAGAATACGGTTATATATACTAGTAAGACCAGTATTACATACTGTTTGTTGTTGTTGGGCTTTTGATTTTGGTTGCGAGGTAAAAAAAAAGGAAAGGACAAATTCCTTTTTAATCCCTGAACCGTAGAATATTTTTTTTTTTTTTTTTAATGATTAGGAATGTCTGAGCCAGTTAATGCGTACCCTAACTAATCCTCTGGAACTATCGGTCGGATAAGCGCTTCAGTGGCTACCTTAATTTAGAACCCTGGAACTATCAGTCGGATAAGAGTTCTAGTAGTTATCTCTATTAGTAACCAAGGAGGGACTTGAACTTAAAATCTCTTGAATAATACTCACAAGAGTTTCTATCGAATCACTCGACCATTTAGAGATAGTTAAATTTTACTTTTGAAGAGATGTAATATAAGTTCTAAACATGAGAGAAATTTTGGCATAATTCTAAAGGTCTGCTTGGGAGGTTTTTTTCATTGGTTTTGAGTGGTTTTTAATTAGACTAGTTTTAAGGTGTTCTAAAACCATTACTTGCCAAATTTTGTATATACTAGTTTTGACTAACTCAAAAAACACCTAGAACCAGTACAGTGTATTATTGAAGGGTTTATAAAACACCTCAAATCGAGGTGTTTTGGTTGATTTTAAACTTTTATTCCACAAATACCATATCCATCATAAAACTATACCAATTATATCCAAAAAAAAATTTAAACATATTATACGCGTCTCCAACCATATTAATTCTAAGCAATCATAAAAAAATAATTATTAAAATCACATTTCTAGATGCTTTCATGGAGAAGTTGAGCTACAATTTTTCAATCATTCCAAATGTTGCAAAGAATGGCGAAGAATGATAAGGAGACTTTATTACATTTGAAGTTATAAAATACTAATAAGTAGAAAACAAATAAAAAACTCTTACCTTATAATTGAAAAAACAAAACTCCCAAGTACTGGTTGAAGTTAGGGTACTTTTATATGCATATATGTAAATTTATCATTTTAAAAAACTGTCAGAACCACTGAAAAATAAACTCCCAAGTATAGGTTGGGTGTTTTAAAAACCGCAACTAAAAATCTTTCAAAATTGCTATAGTGGTTTACCCTCAAAACCGCTATGATGGTTTACCCTCACAACCGCTACTATTAAACTCCCAAGCGAACCCTAAGTTTTAGATGGAAATAGCATATCACTCTTATCACAAAACATTGATACTGTCTTAGGATCTGAATTCTTATCAATGATCTGCATTGAAGTGCTTCAGTAAAATAAATTATAAATAGCATCATCGTGATGATTATAGAGAAATGTAAACCCTAGGTTTCAACTCATCCAAAAATAAGGATGGGCGTGGGCCAGATTGGGGTCAAGGACCTCGTTCCCCATCCCCGTCCCCAATATCCACTCCCATGACCATCCTTGGTCCATCCTCGATGGCAGGGACAATTCTCATGACCGTCCCTGACCCGATGAACGGGGCTTCACGGGAAAATTTATCCCCGAACGGGAAATTTTTCAATTAATTAATTACAAAGATGATTGAATTTGTGTAATTTGTAAGTCATTAAACAATTATGTATATTCTTACATTGGTTTGGTAAATTGTAATAATCTAGTCAAATTTATTTTTGGGGCATGTATTATTTATTTTATGAAATTCACAAAGTAATAATACATATATTTAATTATTAGACTCCCTCATTTAAATCATTTTTTTTATAAATTTAATATAAACATTAGAAAGTATTATAAAGTAAATATCATAAATTTGGATATATTATTTAAAATCATGATTTAAACTCTAACTTTATATACAATCTTGCAAAGTAAAAAAAAAAAACATAAAATTCTCAATAAAAAAATATGGGGCAGGGTTGACGAGCCAGGGTGGGGGATTGCACAATCCCCTCCCCTGGCCCGTCCCTAGGGGTGGAGATTTTTTTTAGGACCATCCCCAACCCTATTCCTAGACCTGGCAAACAGGTAGGTGTACTTGCAGGTCAACGGGTACCCGTACCCAATGGACGGGTACGGGTTACACATCTCTTGACCCGTGAAAATATGACTCGTACCCGGCTCGCCTGTGACTTTTGCAAGTGGACTGGGTACTACCCGCGGACCGGCAAATTTAAAATTAAAAAAAAATAAAACTTATCACTCTCAGTCTCAATGTCTCACTCTCAAACCCTAATCCAAACCAAAACTTATCAGAAAAAACAAAAAATGCAGCAACTTATTCTCTTCTCTCACAGGCCACAGAAGCTCCATGACCACTCCTTAGTCCTCTCACAGCAGCTCCACTCCCTCACTCTCTCACGCTCATAACAGCTCCACTCTCCCTCATTCTCTGACTTCTCTCACGGCATCAGCAGGTCACGGCAGCAGCAACAGGTCACGGTAGCCCATTCTCTCACGACAGCAGCAGCAGTAGCAGCAGTCAGGTCACGGCAGCTCATTCTCTCACGGCAGCAACAGCACGGTAGCACAACAGTTAGGTCACGGCAGCAGCAGATCTCCTCTCACGACAGCACCAAATCTCCTTTCACGACAGCAACAACAGCAGGGCAGCAGCAACACGGCAAGGCAGCAGCAACAGCACGACAGCGTCGGCAGGTAACGTATAGGTTGATCAAATCTCGTGTTAATTTTAGCTATATCCTGCCTTTGCAGCTAAAAGACGAGTACTGGAAACTTTGGTTAAAGTTACTTTTGTATTTTAATTATGAAATACTTAATATTTATCTCAACAATATGGAATGTTTGATTAGTGATTAAAATAAAAAATAGTAGGGGAGAGTTGAAAAAGTAGTGCATTAAAATAGTTTGTCTTTGGTAAAGCATGTGACAAAAATATGATAGAATGCTAGGGAGTACCGAGAATGAAAAGTATAGAACAAACTACAAAGCATGTGGTCTGACTGACTAACTGAGAAGTCATGCCCCTCTGCCTCTGGGACCAAAAACGTGAAAATTGACTGCTTAAAAACATGACGTGAGGGAGGCTTAAAAAGTTTTGAAAATAAATTTTGGCCCCTCATAATATCCTACTCAAATATTTATTTTCTTTTGACTCAAATAATGATGATTCACAATTTCACAGCATATACCACATTATAATTTTTTTTTTTTTGATGAATTGTTATGAATTATGATTGGTTATACTTATTGGAGTTGAGGGGTGTTGATTGTTGAGTTGGAAAAATCCAGTCATTTGGTAGGGCTAGTTTGCTTGTAAAATATATGGGAGTGTTTTTATTTTTTTTGGACGAATTGTTATGAATTATGATTGGTTAATTAATTTAAATGTAAATACTTTGTTGTGTCCTTTAGATTGGCTTGTTATGGAGAAGTCTACAAATTTAGGAACGGGTCGTAATGTAGCCGTAGGTCAACTTCCTTCTACTGGTAGTACTGCTTGGCCAAAAAGACGTCAAGTTTCAGATGTTTGGGGTCAATTTGCAACATATGTAGAAGATAATAACGGTAAAGTGTATGATTTGTGGTAAGTCTTATGCACATGGTAGTTCCAGTGATGGGACTAAGAATATGAGGCACCATATGGAATGTTGTCCTAAACTTACCATTACTAATAGTGTAGATCAAATGATGATGGATTGTGATACTAAATTGAGACGTTTGAAGATTTCTCAAGAAATTTATCGTGAGAAGATGGCAATAGGAATCATAAAACATAATTACTCATATTCAATAGTGGAGCATGAAGGAATTAGGGATGTCCACATGTATTTGAATCATGAAGTTAAGCATTATACTAGGAACACCGCTAAGGCGGATTGCTTAAAGATATATTATAGGGAGAAGGAAGGGATTAAGCTTGCTTTAGAGAGGGTTTCGGGTAGAATATGCTTGACTTTTGATATTTGGCATTCTTGTACTACTGATGAGTATATTTCTTTAACGGCTAACTATGTTGATCAGAACTAGGAGTTACAAAATAGAATTCTGAATTTTTGCCATATTCCTCATCCACACTCGGAGGCTATTTTATCAGACATAGTATATGATTTCTTAAAAGATTTGGGGATTGAAAAGAAAGTCTTCTCTCTTGCATTAGACAATGCAAGTAACAATGATAAAATGGAAGACATTTTAAGGAGTTAATTTTGTTTGCAAAATGTTTTATTATGTGATGGTTTTTTTTTCATGTGCGATGTTGTGCACATATTTTGAATCTCATAGTCCAAGAAGGGTTAAAGGTGAGTAGCGTGACTTTGCATAAAATTCGTGAAAGTGTGAAATATGTTAAAGGAAGTGAGGCTAAAAGAATCAAGTTTGGAGAACTTGTTAAAACAATTGGTGTGATAAGCTCAAAAGGATTGCGAATGGATGTTCCCACGAGATGGAATTCTACGTATTAATGCTTCAAAGTGCATTAATATACCGTCGTGTGTTTGTTCATTTGGCACTGATAGATCCCAATTATAAAAGTTGTCCTTCAAATGAAGAATGGGATCGTGGGGTGAGAATTTGCAAGTTCTTGCAATCATTTTATGAGATCACTACTCTTTTTTGGGGTTCCCAATACCCGACAGCAAACTTGTATCTCAGAAATGTGTGGAGAATTCAAGTGCGTTTATACGAAGAGATGGAAAATGAGGATGAAGTTCTTAGTACCATGGCAAGTCAAATGAAAGGAAAATTTGACAAATATTGGGATTCTTATACTGTTGTGTTAGCAATTGCAGCAATTCTGGACCCACGTTTCAAGTTTGAGTTTGTTGAGTTTTGTTACAAAAAAGTTGATGGCCCAGTAGTTGCAACAAGAAAGTTGGAGTTGGTCAAGCAGGAGTTGTATAGGCTTTTTGCTGCTTATGAGGGTCTAAGTGGCAATGAGGTTCCCAGCGATCCTTGCGTACAAGCTAGTAATCCTAATATCATTGGAGATGATATTTGTGTAAGTCAATACTCCCTAAATATTTTTATATTCTTGTGATTAATAAGGTTTTCTTTATTTTGTAATTTTGCTTTATTAAATTTAAATATTTAAATGGTGCAGGAATTTGACTACTACAAGAGTGACTTTAGTGCTACTAAGAAGTCCGAATTGGATACTTATTTGGGAGAGGCAAGATTTGATCGCATCAAATTTTGCAATTTGGATGTCCTGGACCATTGGAAGAAAAATAGTGATCGATACCCGATACTTTCGATGATGGCCCGTGATGTGATGAGTATACCAATAACGACTGTTGCTTCGGAATCCAGTTTCAGTATTGGTAGCAAAGTGCTCAGTAAATATCGAAGTTCACTTTTACCGGAGAATGCAGAGTCTTTGATATGCACCAGGACATGGATTTCTGGATATGAAGTTAAAGGTAACATTTTAACTTATATTTCACATGTTTTAATATTTTTGTTTGTTAATATATTACGATAATTAACTTATATCTTGTTAATTGTAGAAGATGAAATTGATGATGTTCAGCTGCTTGTGCCATTAAGTCAAGTGCTGGGGAAGGAGATTGCATAATCAATGGCGGCTTTGTTTGTTTAGTGTGTTTGGTACTTTGGTTAAACAATTATATATATTTAATTGTTTAGTGTTTACTATGTTATGTATGTTGAATGTTAAACAATTTTATATATTTAGTGTTTACTCATTAGTAATTACTATGTATGTTTAGTGTTTATTAATTCTATTATCTATATGGTGGAGTTTGATATAAATATGAAAAATATTAATATTGAATTAATAATGTTTGGTGAAAACTAAAATCTAATCAAATTTAATTTAATCATCCATTTATTTAATATAATAAGTTAATAACTAATAAGATTAATAAATGAATTTTATATGAGGTTTTTAAATTAATATAATTTAGTATGCAATTTGAAATTTTGAATTAAAAAACAGTAAAAAATAACAAAAATATGGAAAAACAGTGAAAAATACAAAAGGCTGCATTTTTCACGGGTGACCTGTACCCGCACGGGCAGGTAGGGATCATGAAAATGTCGACCTGTGAGAATTTTTCACCCGTGAACCCGCGACCCGTTGCTACCCGAACCAAACCCGCCCGTTTGCCAGGTCTACCTATCCCTGATGTTTTTGGGGATTCCTCGCCCCATTCGAGCCGATCAAGCCATATCTCGTTGGGGCTGGGGCAAACGCTCATCCCCATCCAAAAAGTAGAATAGAATAAAACGGACTGAATTAAATCTTGTTTCTCTCCAGAACGATATAACTCCAGCATCCAAACAACCGATTAGAAGCTGAAAAAAGAGGCAGGCCTGCACTGACTAACATTACAATTTACATGTTGCGACTCTCCGACTCTCAGTAGCCTCTCTGCTTCAGTCTCCCACTATTTATATCAAACGACGGCGAATCAACCGATCACGCGCAACAAGAAGGATTTAGGTAATGCCCTAAACCCTGCCAAAAAATAATTCATGTCAAATTGACACATTCTCTGGGTAGTCATCTTTAACATCAAGGGAGCCGTGACAAATCAGGGCCGGCTGTTGGGTTACCCGACAGTGCCCACATGTTTTGGCTACTTGTTTGTTCGAAACCTTCTTCAAAAAATCCTAGCTTTTATCGTCGTTTTCTTTGCTTTCACATCGTGAAAATCATAGCCACTGATTCACCAAATGTTCGATGAAATGTGTCTTTGTGGACGTATGCTATTTTTTGTAAATATATGGCTGCTACTATAACAACCCTTTTAGCTATTCTGCACAGCATCTAATTTTTATATATGTATTGGTTTGAGCCTCGACGCCTAAGATGTGCTAAGTGTATTATAAATTTATAATACTGCCTTTAGTTCATTGTTCGGATAGTTTTTTTGCCTTGTATCTATTTGAACATCATATTCAAATCTGCATTTGCAACTTTGATAACAATTGCAGTCACTCTTCCAAATATATAAAAGTTTGACACTTAGTATTGATATATAGGTGTTCTTAACATGCATTGGAAACTATATTGATCGAGTTTTACTAGCAATTGGATTTCAGTATTAATTTCTATTGTTTGAAACATAAACATTTATGGTTGTGATAATGCTGTGCTTGAATTAGACAATAGGCATTATGCAATTGATGTGTAGTCTGTGTAAAACATCACTAATATATTTTAAGTTTCAAAATCATTTGTTTTCCAAGATTTGTGCTTCCTAGATTTTTTCACAAACTGGAATAGGACCTGCTTGTTGGGTTTTAATTTTGCTGATTAGCAACTTTTGTAATGCCATCTCTTTGATTTCAGGAGATTGAGGTGACTTATAATGGAAGCCAAATTTTTTCGCTTTCTAAAGATTGTAGGTGTCGGGTACAAAGCCAGAGCTGAATCAGAGGGTCGTCTCTTGTTTCTCAAATTGGGGTACAGTCACGAGGTTGAAATTACTGTTCCTCCAGCCGTCCGTGTTTTCTGCTTCAAAAATAATGTAATTTGCTGCACTGGAATTGACAAGCAAAGGGTGCACCAGTTTGCTGCTTCTGTTCGTAGTTGCAAGCCTCCTGAAGTTTACAAAGGCAAGGGTATAAAGTACACTGATGAAGTTATCAAGAAGAAACAAGGAAAGAAGTCAAAATGATTGTGGAGATGCCTGGTTCTGATTCGATAAATGTTTTTGCATCTTTATGCAGCTTCGTCAGCAATGCCATAGTCTGTAAAACTAAATTGATTCTCTTCTTAAATTAGAGCATTTTGGAACTTCTACGGATTTTGATAACGTCAAGAGCTTTGCAATATGTGAAAGCATCAATAAATCAGCCAGGAGCTTTGCATCTTCCCAAGGTTTTATTGTTAGTGTTAATTTGGTGTAACTTCTCAGCCGAAAATTTCTTTGCACGAATTTGAAGCAGGTTTAATGTTTTTATTTATCAACTGATTAAGTATTTATCCAATCTCGGCTGGGTTCAGAAGATTGTGGTCTTTCTTTTATTGAACGAGTTTTATACTTTGAGCTAAGCCAATGGAGTTGTCCCAATCCATAGCCAAGACAGGAAATGTGAATATTTTTTATGCCCCAGTCGGTTGTCATATGCATACTTCTTGCTTGAATGTGATAAATTATCTTCTACATCTGCTGGTGGGTTGATGTTTGTGGCATAAATTTTTTGTTGTGTGCTACAAAACTTACAAGGAATGGAAGACATTACTTTCAGGAGCCAGGAGGTCACATTTTATTAAACATGGGCTTCCAAATGTTTCACAGCTCCTTTCAGACCACAGATGTCTGCTTTTTCCAAACTTATGGTAGACAATTATTTCTTTCAAGATAAAGCATATGATGTTTTCATCACTAACCCTGTTTTCTGTTTGTTTCTCCACCCAAACTTTGATTCTACTACTACTGGAATTCTGTATCTAACAATGGTAAAATCCATCACATATAGAGTATTGCCACGGAACACAAATTAATTTATGAGCTCTTGCAATGACTTCCGTCAAGACATCATTATAAAGTAGCTCTTGCAATGACTTCTGCCAAGACATCATTATAATGAGCAGGAGGAGCCAAAGCACTGCAGCTTCAGTGAGCGAAAATGGCTCACCAGAAATTTCCCCTCTATGGAGCTGTTAATTTTTGAAGGCCCTGGAACCACCAAGCAATTTCAAGTACATCGTTTTGTGCTGTAGTAGTGATCGTATTATATCAGATACACTAATTTGAAATTCAATTGAAATAACCTTGAATTTCTTTTATTTGGAAGTTCAAAAACTGATTTATAGGTTTAACTGTAGAGTGCTCAGAATGTTGATATGAGATTTAAGTTGTTCACAGGGAAGATGCTGGGGGAGGAGGTAAAGATTACACAATGGAAAACTAATCAAGAGAAAAAACAAATTACCTTAGAAAATCATTCGGATCATGAGCCCGTCTATTACATAGCCATACATCTGCATAAGGTGGGCTATTTGCATCCCAGATATCCTTAAATTCCCATTCAGCTACTATGGATACAGTATAAAAGAATGTCTTGAGTTAGTCAAGCATGTAGATCCGGGAGGCAATGTCCTGAACCAACCAATCAAATCCCTCAAGCAAGCCCTCTCCTGTGTATGCACTACAGCCCACAATTTTCCAGTGTCGAGTTTTGTCCATAGCTTCCAAGTTCAGCACCTGTGGCAGCAAAAAAGAAACAGAATCAGGATTGAAAAGATTTTGGAGTTGTTCTAAGGTGTACACATATAAATAAGAAAAATTAGAAAGAAAAAAAATATTAGTACTGAAGAAAAAACTCAGAAGAGAAAAACAAGAAACAAAACAATAACTATCAGATGGACAGAAATGGTAAATGTAGTATAGAAGTTATCAACCATCCCATGTATCCTTTAAAGTTTACTGGTTCACTGCTAACTTGTTTTCAGTCCCTTGTTGCCTAAAAAATGTTTCAAGCCAAAATAAAAATGCTTCACTGGATGCATAACTAGCGTAGTGATAATTCACGCAGGCTCGAAAAGCTTAGCCACCAGAAAAACATCAAAAAGTTGCCTCAAAAGGACACCTTATACTACAAAATCAAGTGTCCAGAAATGGAATCTGTACAGAAACTTCATCAGTAAACAGTGCTCTTACACAAACTTGAAACAACAAAGTGTTCTTAAAGAGAATGAAAAGTGCTTATAGTTTGCATCCCAAAAAATACCATGCTCAACAATCATGAAGTTGCATACATATATACAGAGAGAGAGAGAGAGAGAGAGTGCAGACATACTTTAGCAATTTCTGCTGGGGTAAGAGCACCTTTGATGTCCTGCTTGTTAGCAAATATGAGTAAAGATGCCCCTGATAACCTCTGCCATGGAAACACATTAGTCAGATTCCTTACAAAATTCAACCAAAACACTTGAATGCTCTGAATGTTCATTTCAGCACCCTAAATCAGTAACATTTATTAAAACTTAAAATCAATACAAAAAGCAATACCTCTTCCTTCAAAAGATTATCCAGTTCCATTTTGCAATCATCTAACCTTCTAAGATCCGAACTATCAACCACCCACACTAAACCATCGGTTTGCTCAAAGTAGTTCCTCCAATATGATCTTATAGTTCTTTGGCCTCCAACATCCCATATATTTAGAACATACCTATCCAATTCATATAACGCGGAAATTTCAATAAATAAAATCTAATTATTGTGGGTGTTAACGGAATCTTACTTTTGATAAGTGATTGTTTTGATGTTGAAGCCCAGTGTGGGACTGATAACGCTAGTATCTTCTCCATTAATCTTTAAAACAATCGTAGTCTTCCCCGAATTATCAAGACCCCTGCAAAACAAACGCTAATTAAATTCAACAAATGAGAAAGAGGGAGTTTGATTAATTAATTAATAAATTTACATACACCATAAGGATTCGCATTTCCTTCTCTTTTTTCTTGATTTTCCGTATGATGCTAAGAAGCCCCATTTCTAACAAATCAGCCAGATCACTTCTTCAACATTCAATGTTTTTTATACACTCAAATGGGAGCAAAGAAGACAACTCAGCTGCTCTCCGCTTCTGTGTTTGAAGGAAATGGCTTGTAGAAGCCCACACCGGAGCTTATTATTCCAATTTTCAGAGAAACGACGCCGTATGATTGGGAAATCAATTTTGTTATGAAAAATGTTACACCAACAACTCTTTATCATAAACTTTCTCTCGTTACCCTAACTTGTCAGCTCGCAATTAATTAATGAGACTTATACAAGACTTATATGAGATTTATTGTGAATTAATTAATTACGATCAAAATTATGAAAGAAAATTTATGAAAAATGATTAAGAAAATAATAAACACCGGAAATAGTGCATCGAATCTATGTACCGAATGATGTGATAAAATCTTAACTGTTGATTAATTATAACTTAATATTAATCGACGGTTAAGATTTTATCATGTTATTCGATATATAGATTTTGTACACTACTTTTAATAACGGTAGCATTACTGATTATTGGTGTAATAGTATCCTGTCGCTATTTTTATCCACACTACTGAAATCAAAGGGAAAGAGGACTAAAAGATTATTTCTAATCCAGTGTTATAATTTATTTTAATTGTACAAATTAAAAAATCTTCTACTTTAATAGTATAAATCACGTGTTTCAATAACATGAGTAACATGAGCTATTATTAAAAGTTTTAATAACATGTAAATAATTCGTGTTATTATGGTATTTCAAAATAACAAGTGTTAGATTGCTTTTTAGACTCTTTATACAATTAAAATAATAACAGTTTTAAATTTTAATTTAAAAATGACTATTATGTAATTAGTATAATGACAATTTTTTTAGTTTTAAATAGGTGAGTGACAGTTTTATGGGTGGTTATTATGATTTTATCTATTATAATATTAATAAAATGGAGTAATTTGGTTGTTCTTATATTAATTATTTACTATATTAATTATTGGGAGAGTAAAATCCAAATATTTTGTGTATAAAAGGACCGATTCCTTTTTATTTGTGAAAAACTCCAATTGCTTTTGCTCCCATTTTCATATTGTGTCAAAACACTTTTTAATTCTCATTGTTGATATCATATCATCACTACTCGTTACTTCTCTGTTATTGTTCTAAATCTCTATTAGAGTGTACACTCTAAAAGGAGATTCGTCATAGTATCCTGGAGGTTAATCCGTTGTTGAGTCTTTTTGCACCACGAAGATTTTTCAGTAGGAGGCGAAATTCTGATCTTAAGGACAGTGTTTTTGCACGCCTTGAGGCTGCTGTCTTGCTGCTATTTTGCTGCTCTGCTCGTTGCTGTTTCACTGTTGTATTGTTGCTGTTTTGCGGCTGTCTCTCTGTTGTTCTTCCTGCTGTCCTCTTACTGTTTTCTTGCTGTTTCTGCTGTTTTTTTGCTGTTTTGCTGCCGTCTCTCTGATGTTTTTCCTGCGGTTCTCTTGCTATTTTCCTGCTGTTCTTCTACTGTTTTGTTACTGTTCTTTCACTGGTTTGCTGCTGCTGTTTTACTGCCAATTTTATTATTAAATTTCAACAATTCCATGATAAATAGTTATTGTTATATTATGTCAACGAGAGGGCTGAGTATGCAGACAGAAGTGGCGATTTAATCAAAGCAAGAAAAGGTTGCATTAATCACATTTCACAACCTCTTTGAAATTGTATTTCCCATTTTTAATTTGGCTCAGTAAAACTTTTGCCAAGAATACGGAGTTAGTTCTTTTGGCATCTAATATGTGCCACAGGAATAAAGATAAATTGATAAACATTTCTCACAATTTTGTCTCACAAACGCTGATATGATAGTTCGTAATTGATCAGTTCATATTTAATCAGACGAGACCCATTATTGGATAGGTAAAACGTATTGTAAACTGACCAATTACGAACTGACATATCACGTTTGTGAGACAAAATTAGTGATAAAGATTTGTGAGCGTAGTACTATTGCATGCAACTATTGCATGCCGCAATTACCAAATTCTGGAGCGGGGCTGGCCATCAAACAGTACTCAAAACCATGTTAAGTGCACTTCTCATTGACATACCAGCAAACGGAAGAGCTTGAAAAACTTATCCAATCAATATTTTCTATAAATAAATGATTTCACCAGTCATACAAAATCTTCTACTTCACTCCCATCTCCATGCCTTTGATTCGACGGTAAACCTAAATACAGGATACAATGCTGCAAGATTCTGCCAATCTCTTCCAAGTTTTGCCAATCACAACAAGTACAGCTAAAGAAAGAAAACTATGTTACTGTACTTATGGTGGCTTCACTTGAAGTGGGAGCGAAGAGTTGTGTACTATACTACAAAGAGGGATCACAACATGGATTACAATCCCTAAACTACTACGTTTCAAGAAAATTCAGACTTAATTTGTCAGCCTTGGGGCTTTCAATAAATAAATATTCCTCACAAGACCTTTCCCAAATTCACCTACAGCTTTCAGCACATCAGTTGGATCTTCTTCTTCTTCTTCAGCTGTTTCCTCTCGATTTCGTTTCTGGAAATATTGAAGAGATCCAGGGATACAATTAACAAAAGATTTGTATACCAATAAACTGAAGAATTTATTTTCAGTACAAATTTGAAGTTATATATCCTATTATACCTTTGAACAGGCTCTCTCCCACGTAAGGCCAATTGCATCACCTCCCAGAGAATCATACCACAACTTCAACTTCTTTGGAAACTCTTTCTACATATAATAAATAAGCATATCAGAAGAGAACGACTAATGTTGTCAATATCAACAAAAAATGTACTTCTTTAAACTTGCCTCTAAATCCCCAACAAAACACCTCAGTGGATTGAAATCTACCATCAGCTTGTTTTTTAGTTCCTCTGAACTTCCCTTCAAATCTCCAGGCAACAAGAATGGGCGGAAAGCCTTGCTGACATCTCCATGAGCTACATGCCTCCCTGTCCAAAGCACTTTATGAGAATTGGATTATCAAAAAAATGGACAGGTCGACAAATTTTAGTTGGATGGAAGAAATCATAGCAATATATTACAGGAAAATCACAGAGTGATGAAATGATGCCAAATTCGAAAACCCCATGAATTCAATTTGAGTGGTTCAAGACCTTTGGCTTCACTTCATTCAAGAGGTTAGATGTACAGTACAAAACTTGTGAGTGAGAATTTCAGTGTATAAACAATATTGGAGCCGAAGCCTAGGACCCTCCCTGTGAGGTACCTTTGTTTACTTCAGACGGGAAGAGAAGACGATGGGGATAAGGTAACCTGTCCCTGTGGAGAAGAACTACAGCATCATAGTTGTTCAGCGGAGTTCGGAGAAGGCACTGCAATCAGAAATGGTGCTATAATAATTCATAGATATAGTTCCATATATTCTCGGATAACAGGAACAATCACATCTGGCAGCTGTATGTCACTCACCTCCCATTGGTAAGAATCAGTCTGATTCTCTGAAATGAGTTTGCTCAACAAGTTTGCACTGCTTCGAGCATAAGCCACCAACCTTTTAAGCTCCTTTTACATCAAGATCCATAAGGAATTGGCAGGAGTACTATCAGTAATAATTCAATATTTATCTAGCATATATCAAAGGCTTTTGTATTAATGGAAGCATAGGTGGAAAGGAATAGGCAGGAGCACTATAGTAATAAGTCTATTTATTTAGCATATAATAAAGTCTATTGTATTAGACGGAAGCATAGGTTTGCGGAAATACTAACATGGAAAATTTATTGAATTAAGAAAGTTTAACCAAGGTGTTCATGCTTGGTATTCAAAATCCTATATACGCAATGGTTTGCTTCAAATTACAATCACAGCAGAAAAAAGAAAATATTTCTAAGACTGTGAACTATATTTTTGAAAAAAAAAACTTAAAAAGTCTCGACAAGGTTTGTATTCTTTTTCCCTTTTTGAGACAAAGAAATACATAGTTAGATGATTTGAAAAAATTACTAGACAGAAAACAGCATCTAACAGAAGAAAAGAAGAAACATATACCAAAATGAAAAGATCGATTTGTGGGCATTAGTGATTGCATTTGACAGAAGGAAGGATTAACAAACCATTGAATTTGGAGAGATTCTTGTCCAAGCTTCAGATCCCTTGTCATAAGCCATAGCCAAGAATATAGCTGGGCTTACATTTTGAGTGTTTTCTTCGTGTTCTTTCCTACTTGAAATGAAGTTATCCTGAACAATCATGACATGATAAGACACTGTTATTATAACACAAAAGAACCAATGTATTATCCTATATTTAAAAAAAATAATAATAATAATTATCATCCAGAAAACTGCTTAGCTTACATTAATCTCTTTATAATCATCTGGGCCAAAATCATTATTTATGTCAACAACCAAAGGAGAAAAGGTCCAATCATACTCTGCTAGAAGTCGTAGAAACCTGTTGAAAGGATCAGTTTTGAAAATAACATTGTTAGGTAATAGTTCCAAGACATGATTTTCATACATTAAACAGACCCACTATGAGGCCAATAATAATCCAACAAATTAGATTTCAAACTCACAGCAATAGTTATTTCACTGCTGAACCAATCAACAATTTGACGGGAAAAAATAAAAGCATCTTCTACATGTCAAATCCATCATCATAATGTTTACCCCTATCAAATCTCACTGGCACCAGCAGTCCAAAACTAGACTAGTATGATCAGCATCCCCTTCTTCAGCCTCCAAAGGTGTGGAGACTGAATCAATCATATTTCAAGGGACATAAAAGTATTCATTTGAATTGAATGAAAGTTAATGCCGCACAAAGAATCATTGCACTTAAAGGTGAAAAATAAGGACAAAAACTTACAGGGAATGACAAAATTCAACATAATTTTACCTAAGATATTTCAGTTTAATGAAATAAAAAATGACTAAATACATGCTTTTAACTTGTTTTACATGTTCCTGTGTTGAGTTTGGAATATGTCAAACATCCCAATATTGTAACAACAAAAGATAATTACAGAATACTAAACACATGTTGCAAAAGGGCAGTGGCTAGGTTTGGAATTGAATCAGGATGGGCAGTCATAAAACTGAGATAACGAACTAAAT